CTATTTGGCAGTGACTTATTAAGTAAGATTCTAGGGAGAGTTTTATGCAGAAAGTCAAGTTTTTTCCAAACTTGTCTTCCAAATTAAAAAACATGTTCCTTCCATTTACGAAAAAACCATTCCGAACAAAAACTCTTCTAATTTATATATACATATTAATCCACACAGTCAGCTTTAACTTATGTTTTTTTGTAAAAGTGTTTATTAACTTATGTGGTATCAAATCGGAGTTAAATAAAACAGGGTTAAAATTGTAAACTGGTTATAAGCAGTTTTTCATAAGTCAGGAAGAATTAACTTATCAAAAACAACTTATTAATAAGCAATTTCTTTTTCTTATCCAAACACCAAAAAACAGCTTATCACCCGTGCCAGACTGAAATAAATTTAAAAACAGCTTTTATAAGCAATCCCAAACACCCCCTTAATGAAAAATTAACCAAACAACCCCTCAATGAGCTTGATGGGACTCATGTCATATTCTATCAACTATACATGACCGTTTGTTAGTGACTTAATGAAATAGAAAGTTACTTAATCAGTAAGATTCTAGGGGGAGCATTATACAGAAAACCAAGTTTTTTCCAAAGCTGCCCCTCCCAATTAAAATAAAACATGCTCCTTCCATTTATGAAAAACCCTCCCAATCTATAGAGTCAGCTTTATCTGTACAGAACTTAAATGGAAAACCAACCAAACAACCCCATAGTCAAATATGAATATGTGAAGTCACATCTAAGGTCATGATAGAGTTTTGTAGTAAGCATGAATTCATACATGAATAAAGAAAGGAGCCTTGGAGTAGGAACCAAACATACTTACAAGTTGTGGCAAAGATACATTTCAAACCATACTAAAATTCTTTTGTCGTTGTCGGTTGATCAGATTAGATTTTGCCACGTGGACCAAGCTTCGGCTTCTCTTGTGGGCCCTTCACAATTGGTAACACATCTCCGGTTGCGGTGGAGCTGAAGTAAGCAAGGGTCGAACCACCTCCCAGTATCAAGAATTTGAGTAGCAATCCTCTCTTGGTAAAAGGTGCAGCGAACGTCTCGAAGAACTTGCTCTGCAATCAAAATGTACGATAATCGAGCTAAGAGATTCAAAGAGTGTTGTACAACTAGTAAAAGAATGGTTATAGAATTTTTGTCAATTATGGGAGGAAATCCATCTGCTAAAAACTGCAACAAGTTTCAATTTGGATTTGATGTTTTCCTATTTTGGAAACTTTCAAAGATATATATACAGAAACTTGTCCAAAAATAGCCATCTTTTCAACCAACTGTTGAAAAAATAGCCCAGATTTCATACGATAACATTTTAGCAACTTGCGAAATCCACCTTTTTTAATAATATAATAAAGTAGCAATTCCACGCGTTGCTAAAGTGCTACTTGTGAAATGTTGCCGTGAAAGTACCACTTACACATTTTGCTAAAGTGTCACTTACCCACCTGCTGAAGTGCTATTTGACATGTCAGCATTTTAGTTTAGCAACTTGTTAAACTGGTAATTTATGAATATTAAATTCATAGAAAGTAAGTTTCACAAGTTACACTTTAGCAACTTGCGAAATACACTTTCTTTTGGATATAATATACATAAAGTAGCAATTTCACAAATGATGTGGAAGTACCATTTATGCATTTGCTAAAGAGCTACTTCCAAACCACAATGGTGGTGCCTGATTGGTTTGAGTTTGGCTCCAAAGGTCAAAAGTGTCTGGAGGTCCCAGGTTCAAATCCAAAGAGGAATAAAAATCCCCTTGTGGCCATGGAGGTTCAAATGCGGTGACTCCCGGCTACCTAGCAAAGCAGGTGGTCGCCCTAGGATTAGTCGGCTCGCATAGCGGATTGGATATCCACGTTAATTAAAGTGCAAGTTGACACGTCAATATTTTGCAAATAGCACTTTCGCAACTAGTTAAATTGGTGTTTTATGAATATTAAATTCATAAAAACTAGATTCCCTTTGGCTATATCGGTTGATTGATAAGAAAAGCGGCTGTAGAATGAATTGGGGAGTCCAAAATGACTCCTTTGGACAATTTCACTGTAATTACTCCTTAACACCCCAATAGTAGTTACTTTTATTTCGCTAAGTTCCTATTTTCAGAAAGGACTAAGGGGCTTATCCGATAAGTGCTTACCGATATCACTTACCTTATCGATTGAGGATAGGACCGAGAATCTTATCCAGCAAAAGACATAGCAAGGATCATGATTCTTACATGTTAAGTGAGTGAAAGACTCTCACCCGGTAAACCCTTATCGGGTTTAAGACGTTTACCAGCAATCCATTTTATTAGCCGAGAATGTTAGACGATAAGGTAAGCAAGGTTGATAACTCTTGTCGGTATGCGCTTACGCCCTAAATTGGTCTACTCAATAATGGGTATCAGTGAATTCAGTGAGACATTAGATCGAATACCTGGAGGGCATTGTAAGGCGAAGGTGCATCAGAACCATAAACATCCCACTGACCAGTAGTGTTACCCAAATCCTCCAAATCAAAGTAAACACTCTTGTCGCCATATTTAGCCACCACAGCACCAGCTCTATACATCCAAAATCATCCCCAAAACAGCAGAACAAACATCAAAATCATGCAAAAAAACTAGTAAATTTCATAACAAATTAGGTCGTATTAGTACCTGCAAGAGGTTGATCGGAAACTCTGGCGAGAAGGCCGGAGGTTAAGCTTGGTTCCGGCGATAGAACTGCCACCGAGGCCCTTGACGGTGGTGGTGGTGGTGGGTGCGAAGGTTGCAATAGACGCCATTACGCCGATTGACAGAATCTCACAACCTGTAAGTGATTATTGTTATCGTGAAATCAAATTGATCGATCGGAGTTATATGAAATGAGGATCGAGAAATGGAGGGATGGTGTGGTGGGGTTTTTTTGATGGATTTCCATGGATGATAGCTTGCCAAGTAGGATGGTGGATTTGAAGGAAGAGATATGGCGTCCGTCCATTTAGGAGATGACAGATTGGTTGCAGATGGATAAGGCTATCTCCTCATCCTCCTTTCTCACAAATTAGGGTTACGAAATCGCTTAAAATTGAATCCATATGAATCGAATCGGATGTAATTGAACCCGAAGTCGTTATTTCTAACGGCTTTTCGTACAATTTTTCCAAAATAAACAATTAAAAAACTACAGTAATTTCTAATTATATTATATCAAAAAAGTACTTATATAATGAAGCGATATATATCTCGATTTTAATGTTTTATTTTATCTTTTTATTCTATGTCGATGTTATAATACGAATTTATGTGGTTTTAAACAATCAATAATGTTTTTTTTCCAATAAAATATAAATTTGAAGATATTATAAAAATTATAAAATATATAAAAATTCTCATTTTTTTGTATAACTTCTTTAATTTAATTTTTTATTATAATTTAATTTAGGTTTGATGACGAAGTAATTTATTTTTAGTTTAATAATATAATTTTTATAAAGATAATAAATAAGTATTCTGTTAGAACTCAATAATATCCTAATTATATTTTAGTTTTTATATTCAAAATAATAATTTTATCATATATTTGATTATATTTATCTACAGTTTGTTACACGAATTCAAACATGAAGCTTAATAAGTTGTATTTACGCACAATTTACTTATAATCTTGAATTATAACTAATATACATTAATAAACAGTACTTGATGTATAAAATATAGTTTTTAATAGTTTTTATCAAATGTTTTATAATATAATATAGATGTTTGTTTTTATATTTGAATGTCAATAAATTAGACTTCTATACTCAAATATTAATATTTTATTTAACTTTTATAATTTTATATATAAACTAATAGTTTCAATAGTGTAATTGTAAATACATATATTTTTGTTTTATTATTATATTAATGATGTTTTTAGCCTTTTTTTTTTGTGGTTAGAGTTGGGTTTTTTTGTGTTCAAGGGACCCATCATTTTACTTTTTTTAGTGATTGCGTAGGATTAGAGATGCTAAAAATTGTTATTTTTGTCGTTATATTTTTTAAAAATATGATTCTGTTTACCAACGTGGTTTGCAATTCATTGTTGTTTTCATCCGTAAAGCTTACTCCACCAGTAGTTTATTGTTTTTTAAAAGACGGTGAAAACCCATCAAACAAAAGATACAGAGCTGAAGATGAAAAACCCCAGACACGAACAAAACTGTAAGGTGCAGTAAAGAAACGAAAGATGACAAAAAAGAAGAAAACAATGAGCCAAACCCGCGAATGCAGGGGATATGAAACGAAACTAGAAGCGATTAATCAAAGGAAGACATAAGATGGAGTGAAGTAAACCACAAGTCACATAAAATAGATTCCTTAAGGAGTCTACTTGAAACCCACGTGAAAAAAACGATCAGTATTTTATCGTTAAGTATGAAAGACGAGAACAACAATAAATTGTAGATCATATTAAATAAATAAATAATTAATGTGTTTGGTTTGTAGTATTTGGAATGAAACTGGATTCTATTATTTATAAATAATATATAAAATTAATTAAATTACAGTTTTATTAATCGATTATTATAAAACAAATGTTTTTAACATTTTTTAAAATCTTATTTCATACAATCCTATGAAATCCAGTAAAATCCTTCAAAATCCTATGTTTATAAAATTTCAATTAAATCTTAAAATTTCAAATTTAAACAATCTAACAAACCAAACATGAAATCATGAGAGCTAAAAAAATAGTTATTTTCTATTTCAAAGAATGTGTGTCGAAAGAGTTTTGGTAAGCTTAATCAACGGTGCATACTAAAACCTGAACGTACGTGTCATAATCCTAGATGGATCAAGTTCCATAAGAAAAATAAACGCGAAACACCAGAACACAAATCCCCATATCCCTAAATACCATCATCATCTTCTTCACACACACACACTCTTATCCGGAAACCATGTCTCTCCTTCATCTTCAACTCCCTCTTTCTCAATTCAAATCCCTCTCTCTCTCCACCCCTTTCCTCCATGGCACCTCCTCCGCCATCCTCACCAAACCCTCCACCGCCAACCACCATCGCCACCGCCACACTTATCTTCCCCCAATTCGCGCCATGAGATCGCTCCAAGGCCGTGTTATCTGCACCACCAACGATAAGACGGTGAATGTTGAAGTTACACGTCTGGCACCTCACCCAAAATATAAGCGTAGAGTGAGGAAGAAGAAGAAGTTTCAAGCTCATGACCCTGAAAACCAGTTCCAAATTGGAGATCTGGTTCAGCTTGAAAAATGTAAACCTATCAGTAAGAAGAAGACGTTTCTGGCTATTCCGGTTCCCAAGAGGACTGCAGCCAAGCCGAAGGAGTCACAGGATCTTGGACTCTCGTTGGAATCGGATTCTGCTTCGCCAGTTTAGATATGAAGGTTTGTTTGTTTGTTTTTGTCGTTGTTGATCGTCATCATGCTTACAATTCGACTACTGGGAATTGAGTTTCTGAGATTTGTTACGAGGGTTTGTGTTATTTTGTTTAGTTGTGTGAATTCACAATGTGTGATCAAATGAAACACTTTGCAAGATTACAAGTCAATAAATTATTAGTTGGTAATAGAAATGCAGGCAAGGTGTTCGATGAAATGCCTCTTAAACGAAATAGCAATTCAACCTTCTTAATTTGAAGGAGTGTCCGACAAACATGACTAAGGTGCCGTTTAGTAAGCGTTTATCAAGTCATTTTATTTTAGCGGATGAATATGACAAGGGATATTAATCATACCTGGTAAGAGCGAAAGCAAAAATCGAGAGTCTTACCCGGTAAGTAAAGACGAGGACTCTTACCATGGTTAATGACTTAATGATTACCAGGACAAATTGTTGCATACGAGGCGTTTTAGTGAATAAAATCTTACAAGGTAAGTAAGCGATAGTGTCGAATTTTACCGGTAAATGCTTACCGGGTAAGTGTTTAGGAAAACGGCCCCTAAGTGGCGTTTACCAATCGCTATCGGGTAAGCGTTTACCAAGTCACATTACTTCAATAGATGAATATGGTAAGGACCAAGAATCTTGTCAAATAAGAGTGAGACAAAGACCAAGAGTTTTACCTTGTAAGTGAGGGTGACGAATCTTATTATAATAAAAAATGAGCTTAACCATATAAGTTGTGGTGTACTGATTGAGATCCTGGTGGATGTGGAGAAATATCTCATTTGGTCGGGGGTTTGATTTAAGACATATACAATAATTGTGGCCACTGAGTTTATCAAACTGTTTTCTTACAGTCACCATTTACCGGGATTAGTTCAGGCATAACATGTGACATCCTTAAAAAGCAAATATAAAAATGAACTTTTAAGTCTATTTAATTTTATTTTAAGCGGCATAAAACATTATTTTCTTGTTCATTTCAATCAACATCTTGAGTTTATTAAGTTATACTAGAATGGTATTCGCGTAATACAACGAGATATATGTCGGTTTTTTTTCGTTTTATTCTGTCTCCGTCGGTGTTATAATACGATTTTATGTGGTATTGTAAAAACGTTAATGTTTTTATTTTTAAATAAAATATATGTTTTTAGGTATAATAATTTTTTTTTTAAATGTATCGATTTTAATATCAAATTAAATATTTAAAAGTTTTTGTTTTATTTTTTGTAATTTATTTAATTCAATTTTTTTAATTTAATTTAGATTTAACTATGAAATCATTTATTTTTTTGGTTTAATAATATATTTTTTTATAAAGATAATAATTAATATTTTGTTATAATTCAATAATTATACTAAATATATTATATATTTTTTATATTTAAATTGAGATATCTATCAAATATTTGATTATGTTTATCTGCAGTTAGCTACACTAAATCAATCATGGAACTTTAATAAGTTATACATACGCACGATTTACTTGTAATCTTAAATTTTAAGTAATATATATCCGTAAACAATACTCAATGCATAAAAATTGGATTTTAAGAGTTTTGTCAAATGCGTTACAATATAATATAGAAAACATTAAAGTATCTTGCTCTTTGTATATAGAAATAACAAAAACACTGTATTCAAAATGTGTATAACCTACGGATGTAAACAAGTTGAGTCGGGTAATAGCTTATTCGAGTTCAGCATGAAAAAATTTATATAGGTTTGAGTTCCAATAATATTTGAGTTGTCGAGTTCGAGCTCGATACTCATTTATGGAGTCATATTCGTGATTAATTAACTCGTTTATTGCTCGAGGTTGGTAATTTTTTTTTAAAAGTATATAACATTTATATGTAGCAAATACAACAAATAAACTCATACACGCTCTCACATTTGATGAGGTTTGAACCTCTGGCCCAACTACTGATAGGTTAAATACCCTTTATATATTATTTGTATTTATAAACATATAAACATGTTCGGCTCGAAAAAGTATATGCCTGAATGACTTGACTTACCGCTTTCGAATGAGACGAGTTGAGCATTTGTTCTATGAAGCTGGACTCGTTAAGTTAAACGATTTTTATTTTGTGTTCAGGATCGTCCCAGAGTTAACAAAGTTTTCTAACAAAAGTTAATCAGAGAGACCAAATCCGAAACAATGTGGCAACCACAACAACCAAAACTGTAATTAGGGGTTGTTTGGTTCAGGTTGCGGAATGGAAATGATAGTGACAAGGAATGGAAATGTGAATGACTTTTCATTACCACCAGTTTAACCTGAAATGGAAATTTGACATTAAAACTAAACAATTTATTTTATTATAATTTCCATTGATTACTACATATTATTTAGGGTGCTCAAAAGTCCGATCAACCCAACCCAACTCAACGTGAAATAACTCAACCCGAAGCAACTCAGTGTCTAATCGAGTTGTAAATTTGTCAAACTGTAGGTATTTGATTGATATTGAGTTACTATTATTTGAACTCAACTCAATCCGATAAAATCGATGTCATTTATTTATCGAATTTAATATTATTGTTGAATTTCTACTAATATATATATATATATATATATGACAATTGGAGTATTATGTATGCTCTTCATATATATATCTATACTATATTATTAAGCAAATTTAGCAAAAGTCTTGAAGTCTTAAAATTTTAAATGACCAAAATACTCTTTATACTCACATTTTCACTTTTTCACCCCTTCTCTCCTCACATACTCACCCCCTCACATACACTCACCATCTTACAACCTATTTTTTAAAAATTATAATTTTAAATTTACACTTTATACCCCTATAATTAATTTACTTTACTTTACATTCTTTACTTTTAAATGTTTCATTTTAAACATTTATCAAATTAACATACATAATCGTATATCAATGAAAACATGTTTAAAAAATACATTTTTATTTTAACAAGTTATAACATTATAATCGTCTCGTTAATACATTCGAAATGAGTCAAATATTGAATAATTTTTGACTTAATTATATTATTATATATATTATATATACTGTGAAAAAATATTTTTAATATTTACGATTTATACTGTTACAGTTATTTATTTATATATATACTATATATTTTGGGGTTAAGCCGTCCAAATTGTACTGTATAATATGTTTTGAATTAATATGTTCTTGGGTTTTTTTTTTAAATATATATATATATACATGCATTAATTCAACCTTAATCTGAGTTTCTGACAAAAAAAGAGGGTAAACAGTTGAAATTTCATTCTAAAACTCAACTTTTTTTATCTTTTCATGGCTTATGATCTGTCAAATTTGTAGTTTTCTTTATTGGTTTTGAGTGTTTATCTTAAAACTCAAGTTTCTTGGTTCTTTGCTCTTGGTGTAAATTGAATACATCTGTGGAGTCTTTTAAATATGTTGGATTTTAAATATATTGGATTTTAAACTGTCATACAAATTTTTTCATCGATAGTCTGTAATTGGAACCAGAACTCTTATTTATTCAAATTGTATTAATATGTAAAGACCAAGTGTAACATATATCATCGTTAAATCTTATCTTATAAAACCAGTGGAACTTCAAAATCGTTAAAATTCATGGCTCCCGCCGCATTGCGCGGGTACACAACTAGTATATATATATTCAATCTATTCACATTTTTATATAACTTATTCGTATATATGTTCAACAACTATGAACATATATATGTAAATTGAGAAAACTAACTGAATGTGACATACGTAAGAAGTATGACTAAGTTTTATCAAATGGTTGATAATGAAAAAAATACGAGTAAAGAAATAACATATTCAAAGTCAAAATAATATTTTAATGTACCAATGTATCAATCCGACCAACCCGTACGGGTTGGTTGGGTTAGGTTGCACTTTGCTGTGTGTTAAGATTTTTCAAACTGTAAGCATTGTGTTGGGTGTTCAAATGTCTTCAACCCGATCAACCTAACCATTAAGCACCCCTACATAATACCTTTAACCAAACACCACCATAGTTTAAAAGATGGACCAAAAATAGTATTTTGGCAACCACGTGGACTAAAAGTGTAACTTACTCAAATATTTATTTTGATTTTAAAAAAAATGGGTTTTGAAAGGGTAAAAATGGAAATGGAGATGCGGGGGATCGAACCCCGTGCCTCTCGCATGCAAAGCGAGCGCTCTACCATTTGAGCTACATCCCCATTTGGTTTTTATGCTTATTTATGGTCTTGTAGTGTTTAACATTCGAGCAAATTGCATGAAAAATAACGTACTTTAACACGATTCATATTTTGGGTAATGTACTTTCAAATTTTTTGTTTTAATACATAAGATACAGAGTTTTAAACATTTAAGTACCCAGATAACTAGTTGAAACATTAACTTTTATCATGCTGATGTGCCCAGGGCCGTCCCTGGGGGAAGGCGGGCCGGGCGTATGCCCAGGGCCCATAAAAATTAGGGGCCCAATTTTTTTTAATATATATAATAATAGTTCAAAAAAAATAGTAAATAGAATATATATAAAAAAATTAGTATCTAATATGACAAGGAAATATTTTGGTACTACATTAACTATTAAAGATCCAAACATGTATAAATTAAACATATTGAAGAAAAAAAAATACATAAAGAGGTTAATCTGTCGTTCATTATATAATATTATTTAATATTTTTCTAAGTTTTTTAATCTAAAACCGACGTCTAAAACTACTTGCTTCGAAAACTTTGATATATTTTTCATAATTTATCTCTCATCGACTCTTTTGATTATTCCATCTTCGCGTGAATTCTATTTTTTATATTAAAATATGTTAGATTTTCTTGTTATTAGTTAACATAACCCTCATTTTTTGATAAAATTATCAACCATATGAGACGGTACAACTTATATTTATATTTAGAATAATAAAGCTATAATATTTTTTATTCATAATTGTTCTTTATTTTCTAATACTGAGTGTATAAATCTTATGTACTCTTCTATCTCTAAAAGAATAATACAATCTCAAACTATCACTAACATGAGTTTTTTAATTTATATAATCGATGATTCCAGAAAAAATTGTTTTAACCCTAACCCTATGTTTTTTAGTCTTCTTTTACGTAGGAAAGAGAGGAAAGTAATGGATGAAGAAAAATATTATGTTCTCGAGATTTTTTTTAGGGAAAGGAAAAGAAAAGGAAAAGAAAAAAAATTATATCAAATTATATTATTTAAATCATTATTTTCCTTCCTCTATCTTCTTTATTATAAACACAAATAATTTTTTTTTCGTCCTTTCTTTTATTTTTCTTTTCCTTTCTCATTTTTTTCTTTCCTTCCCAAATCCGAAAACATAATATAAAAATTTAAAATGATGTTAATCTTCCCAAATTCGAAAACATATTATAAAAATTTAAAATGATGTTGCTCTTCCCAAATTCGAAAACATAATATAAAAGTTTAAAATGATGTTAAAAAACATTAACATGACATGACATGACATGGAAAACCAACCTATTTATATTTTATTTACATAGTGTCACTTGGAAATCAGAAGAATCAACTTTCTAACCCCAAATGATGTCATTCTATGTACCAAAAGTGTATCATAAGATGTTTTTGATGATAGAACAAATTATCGATGCTACATAAAAATGTTCTAGTAGATAATATTAATTTAGAAATGAGTATTAATTGATTTTGTGTCCAAAAATACTCGAAAAAAGGGTATTATATGATGACTTTAATGTTATTTTTGATGATAAAAACAATATATTGAAAAAATATCATACTTACCGAGGGCCCTTTCTCACATCTCGCCCAGGGCCTAAAAAAGTCAGGAACGGGCCTGGATGTGCCGAGTGACGTGGTATCCGACTCAATAGAAAAAAAACGTGTCTCATGAAAACAAAAATTACTGTGAAGGTAACATTCTCAGTGTTTTTGTTGTGAATATTTGGTTTTTTACCTTTACAACATTTTGTTGTGAAGTTTCAATTGTAAAAAACGTGTTTCATATGAACCCAACCCTTATTAGATATGTCATAAGTATCGTTATTATAATTACTTCAATTAAAAAAAATTTGGTTTTGAAAAGGTAAAATGAAAATGGAGATGCGGGGGATCGAACCCCGTGCCTCTCGCATGCAAAGCGAGCGCTCTACCATTTGAGCTACATCCCCTTGATGCATTTTGTACTCAAACCCTGATTAGTTGTGAATGTCTCAGTAGAGGGGCCTTTTTTCTGCCATTGTTGGACTCTCCCTCCTCACTCGCTGCGTTCTCAATCGAGCTTCAGCGCACTATATTCACAGACAAACGAAATCGCCCCATTTTTTCATACCCTTTGATTCCTCTTCTATCAGTTTTCTTCTAATCATCTTTTTGGGAGTTGCAACTCCTTGACTTTCAGATTCACTCGACTTCATTGATGCTACATCAATTTCTGGCTCCACTGTTCGTCACCCATTCATAAAACGATTCTCTCTACACTTCGAGGTAATTTCCCCCCTTTTTCTTCTTTAATTTAATGAAATCTTGTTTCTAAATCATTTCCCCAATTTGAGTTTCGTTCATGTTCCTGAGATTGGGGTTGATTTTACAGAATCCCACTGTTCTTTCTTTTGTTTTGCACAATGGCCGCAATTTCTTACTGTTTTGAATACATTAATGTGTCGGTTTTAGGGTCAATTTTATGATTTATAAGTGAAAATGGCGATAGTTGGTTGTGGGATCACCATCATACTCCGGTATCCAAACCCCATTTTTTTGTGTCTTTCGAGATTTGTGTTCATCGCCGTTGATTGGCGTTTATTTCGCACTTCATTTCTGTTAAATCTTGTTCAATTTTCTAAATCTGATCTCAACACTTAACTATCTTCCAGTTGAGTTAACAGTCAGCTCTTCATCAAATCATTCAAAATTCATCACTGGTAATTGAGATCTTGCAACACGAATCGATAGAGATTCATTGAGGAATTCGTAGTTCATAATCTCAGTTCTTGAATCAGAAACCAATAACTTAGATCAGTGTCATCGTTAAAGTTGTGTTTTTTTAATCTTTTAATGTGGGATTGAATGCTGTAGTGTGAAACATATTGGTTTTTAACTTGTAGGGTTTTGATGCATTTGATTCATATTGTTTCAAGAATTGGTGGGATTTTAAGTTAAAGATTAGGAGATGGCTTGGTTTAGTGGGAAGGTCTCGCTAGGGAACTTCCCTGATTTTGCGGAAGCCGTTAGCAAGATCAGCGAAGGGGTTAAGAGCATCGAGAAGAATTTTGATAACGCTCTCGGGTTGGAAGAGAATCCCGATGGTGCTTCTTCCACTTCTGCAGGTAACTTCTTTTGTCATACACGTGAAGCCTTCGGTCGTCATTTGCCCTGGGATTTTGTGCCCTGGGATTTTGTAACATCCTAGGCCAATTGTACCAGATATTGTCCGCTTTGTCCACACACATGGACTTACGGTTTTAAAATGCGTTTGATAGAGGAGGTATCCAGTCCCTTATAAGGCAAGTTTTGTTCCCCTCCCAACCGATGTGGGATCTTACAATCCACCCCCTTGGGAGGCCAGTGTCCTTGTTGGCACCAATCCGGTTGCGGGCTCAATACCATTTGTAACATCCCAGGCCAACTGTACCAAGTATTGTCCGCTTTGTCCATATCTGGGTTCACGGTTTTAAAATGCGTCATCCAGTCGCTTATAACGCAACTTTCGTTCCCCTCCCCAACCAATGTGAGATCTTATCGGTTGGGGAGGGGAACACATGTTGCCTTATAAGGGATTAGATACCTCCTCTATCAGACGCGTTTTGAAACCGTGAGTCCAAGTGTGGACAAAGCGGACAATGTTAGGTACGGTTCGCTTGGGATGTTATAGACTTAGTCTTGGCAAAGCCTGGGATCATGCATTTCCAAAAAATAATATTTGTTTCAATTCAGAAGTTTGTATCAAGAATTCAAGATGCCTTTTAATGTTCTCTAATTGCTTGTTTACTACCAGCTTCAGGGTTATGGTCGACGGATATAATGTCATTTATGGGTCAGCAAGATGAGGATGGTGTTATCGAGTCGTCAGAAGATCTTGAAACTTCTGAAAAACACGAATCTTTAGAAAAGCTTGAATCTCTAGGAAAGCACGAATCTTCAGAAAACCATGAATCTGCAAGTCTTCAATCCTCTTTTAGGGAAAACGAAATGACGGAGGCTGATGATCAAGCAAATCTAGAAACCTTAAAGCCTGAAGAGCATCAGGGTCAGCCATTGGAAACGAATAATTTAGTTTCAGAGGAAGCGGAAAAGTTGGCAGAAACAAATATTGCACTTCCTGAAGGAGATAGTATCACTGAAAAGCCCGTGGGATCAAATATTGGAATATCTGAAGAGGCGACCACCGCCACTAATAATGAAAATGAAGTGGAAGCCAGTTCAATAGCAGAATCGAGTGTTAATCATCCCGATCAATTAGAGTTTCCTGACCATACCCATTACAAAGAGAGCCCGGAATTTGGTTTTTCTGAAGATCTTGGATTAACGAAACTCGAGTCAAGAAACTCTGAAGATCAAGTATTTGGTGATGGCCATCAGCCAAATGAGGTGGACGATGGTATTGATTTGCAGAAGACTGAAGAAGAGACCATGCGGGAAGTTTCGGGCCAAAGTGGACATGAAACACATCGAAATGAAGCTCAATCTGACACATCTGATGAAGTGGGTGTAAAAGTTTCGGATGATTCCCCTGAGATGGTTCTTGAAGTGGTTAACACGTGTGCAAAAGTTGAGATAGTTGACGAGCTAGCTAGTGAACATGAAGCCGATAAAAAAGAACAGAGCTTAGGAAGCAATTTGTCTGATGATGCAGGTTCAGTGGTTGAGCTCGAGAAGGTGAAGAAAGAGATGAAATTAATGGAGACTGCACTTCTAGGAGCTGCTAGACAAGCTCAGGTACATATGCATTTGCTTTTAGTTCTAGAATTTAGAATGTCTTATGCTTAAGTCATTTCTGAGGACTTGATCTCTGTTATAGGACTCATGAACATTTGACACCAATTCATACACCTCACAGAAAAGGAAGAGAAAAAAGGTGTTGGGTTCCTCTTCCTCAAATGACCCGACCCAATATTTTTTTTAACCCATAACTTGTTAAAACCTTTGTTTTAAATTACGTTAACCTGAGCTAGACAGCTGAGTGGCCAAAATTTATATTGTGCCCCCATCACCAAAATTTCTGGATCCGCCACTGGAGGTCAGGTCTGAGTAAATCCCCCACCTCGGGGTGGGACATACTGGGGTATGTTTAGTTTGGTTTAATGTCTTATGCTTTCGGTAATCAAGGGGTCAAATTATGCTTATCTTACAAGTCAGAACTGTAGAATTTGGCATGCCGGAATTTTTGTAAAATGTGTATGTATGTGTATATATATATATATATATATATATAGAGAGAGAGAGAGAGAGGGGTGGAGGGAGGTTCAGGGGAGAACCCCCAAAAAAATGAAAAACTGAGGAATATCCTAGTAACTATTCATCTACGGTATGCACATGTGCATACACGTAATTGAAGATGTTACTTGGCTTGTAAATGCACATGTGCATACCGGAAAAATTACTTACAAATTACTTGCATGCACGTGCGTGTACTGTACAGATGAATGGTTACTAGGGTGTTCCTCAGTTTTTCATTTTTTTTGCGGTTTTGCCCCCGAACCTGACCCTATACATATATTGTTAACTACTTACTAACGTCAGGGTCTAATCTTTTTTTTCTTGGGATTCCTATCTCTTTGCAACAGATGTATTTAACATATTTATTGAAGTCCAATCCATTTATTCATGTGTCTTACCAGGCAAAAGCTGATGAAATTGCAAAGCTGATGAATGAGAATGAGCAGCTGAAGTCTGTTCTTGAAGATCAAAAGGTTGGTATAAGTTTATAAATTCAAATATTCGATGTTGTTTGCTTCCGAGTATCGACTCTTTTCAAAATGATTAAACAGAGAAAATCAAATGAAGCTGAAATCGAGTCTTTAAGAGAAGAGTATCATCAAAGGGTCTCAACTCTTGAAAGAAAGGTAAACTTTCCTTATATTCTAAATCTTGTTTCATCTTGTAACAATCCGTTCCACATGGGTAGAAAGTTGGTTCTGTGAGCTCCTTATAAACTCAAAGTTATGGGCTACCAATAACTTCCACCATGGTTTTAAGTTGAACTAGAAACTAGTGGGCCGATTTGTTGCTTTGGGCTTGGGGAATTCTCATAACTTTTCTTTTTAGCAACATTATGAGAAAGGTAACAGAAGATAATAATAGCAATTTGACCACATGGGTCAGGTTCAGGGGAAAACCGCAAAAAAATGAAAAACTGAGGAACACCCTGGTAACCTTTCATCAGGAAGGTATGTACACGTGCATACAATGATACAAGTAACTTTAAGCAATTTGTCAGGTATGCACATGTGCATAAAAACCAAGAAACAACTTCAATTACTTGTATGCACATGTGCATACTGTCTAAGATGAACGGTTACCAGGGTAGGGTGTTCCTCAGTTTTTCATTTTTTTGGGGGTTTTTTCCCTCATCCTTCTTGACCACATAATCAGTGTTGTTAAAATACTTATATTGGATGCCAAATATTAATTCAGGTTTATGCTCTCACAAGGGAAAGAGATACTCTACGTAGAGAGCAAAATAAGAAGAGTGATGCTGCTGCTCTTCTGAAGGAAAAAGATGAAATCATCACTCAAGTAATGGCAGAAGGTAAAGATTCGATCCAATTGCTTGATAAGATTTTTTCGTTCTAATTAATGATTCAACCGTGTTCCTTTTCGTTCATTTAGGTGAAGAGCTGTCAAAGAAACAAGCTGCTCAAGAATCTCAAATAAGGAAACTACGTGCGCAAGTATAAAATTGAATATGTTATTGTATTTCCTTTAGAAGCAAAAACTGTCACTTTGCAAAATTGTCTAATTTTGAAGTTTTTTGGGTGAATATTAGATCAGAGAGTTTGAAGAAGAGAAAAAGGGATTGATAATGAAGCTACAGGTAAATTATATTCTCTAGTCATTTGAGTAATTTATATTTGCCAAAAGGCGTTCTTGTGTTAGGAAGAGACGTTTTGAGGCCTTCTTCTGGTAGGCAGAGACGTTCTTCAATATGTCAGAAGGCCATGCATTTAAAAAGAATTTGTCAGAAGGTCATGCATTTAAAAGAGTCTGTCAGGTCATGCATTTAAAAGAATCTGTCAGAAGGTCATGCATTTAAAAGAATATGTCAAAAGGTCATGCATTTTAAAAAATGTCAAAAGGTTATTCTCCTAAATAACCCTCATGGAGGCATAACATAGGCGGACCTAAATTTTTTGTCAAAGTGGCGGCACCATTTGACCATAAAAAACGAAGCTATGGATTTTTTTTTATAAAATCAGCATTGGTTTGTTGGTTAGTTTGTTGCTTTTTGTATGTGAGGTCCTGTGTTGGAGTCTTTTATCCCAAGTTTTTTCAGAAACATTATAAATCTGAAATTAAAAGTTAAAAACTAAGAAAATGATACAAATGGGATTCGAACCTGCGCCTGGAAGCGGAGAAAAGACTGTGCAAATCAACTCTACCAAGAGAAATTTGTGTTATTATTGTTAGTTTCAAGGAATATATGGTTGCACCCGAAAAAATAATACGGTGGCACCTTTCACGATCCTAATTTTTTACACTACAACCGAGGAAAAGAGCGGAGGCCCGTGCCACCTTATGCACCTAGTGGTCGCAGGGATGAACCCAGTGTAGTGCATTTGTTCCTCTATCGTAGTGAAAAAAATTATAGGGTCGTGAAAAGTGCCACCGTATATATTTGAAACTACAATGAGAACACAAGTTTCCCTTGGTAGAGTTGGTTTACAAGACTTCTGTTCCACCTCAGACCCGAGTTCGAGTCCCGCTAGCGTCATTTTCTTAGTTTTAGCTTTTAATTTCAGATTTATTATGTTTCTAAAAGAGCTTGCAATAAAAGACTTGGACACATGACCTCACATATGAAAACCAATAAACTAACCGCCAGAACGATGTTGATTTTGTAAAAAGTATACCTATATTTGTTTCTTATAGTCAAATGGTGCCACCACTTGAAAAAATTTCTAGGTCCGTCTTTGGCTATATTGTTATTTATTCTTTCTAACGTTGTTGATTGTATCTATCATTTGAGTAACTTTTCAGGTGGAAGAGAACAAGGTAGAGACTATAAAGAGAGATAAAGTGGCTACCGAGAAGCTTCTTCAAGAAACTATAGAAAAAAACCAGGCTGAACTTGCAACTCAAAAGGAATTCTATACGAATGCGTTAAGTGCAGCCAAAGAAGCCGAAGCGTTAGCGGAGGCACGAGCAAACGATGAAGCCAGAAGTGAACTAGAGAGCCGTCTGAAGGAAGCTGCTGAACGTGAAGCTATGCTAGTTCAAACTCTAGAGGAATTAAGACAAACACTAAGCAGATCGGAGCAGCAGGTTTGCGTTGCGAACACCGAATTGTGTTTATATTTATTGTGCTTGGTGAATTTGCGCAAATTAATGGGGTTCTTTTCCTTGTTGCAGGCGGTTTTTAGGGAAGATATGCTAAGGAGAGATGTTGAGGACCTTCAAAAACGATACCAGGTGCTTCTATAAGTTTAATCCACTTTCTCATCTATTTTGGCTATGTTTGGCAACCATAAACCAGCTTGTTTTTGAGCTTATTGAAAAAGCTCTGTTTGGTTAGCCATAAGCTAGCTTATTACAATGTTACCTTTTCATCTACTTTGGCCATAATGGCAACCATTAATTAGCTTATTTTTTAGCTTATTGGAAAAGCTTTGGTTGGTTAGCCATAAGCTAGCTTATTGGGATGCTACTTTTTCGTCTAATTTGGCCATGTTTAGCAATGATAAGCTAGCTTACTTGTGAGCTTATTGAAAAAGCATTTTTTTTTGGTTAGCCATACGCTGGCTTATTGAAACTCTACTTTTTGTGTCTACTTTCGCCATGTTTGGCAACCATAAACTAGCTTATTTTTTAGCCTATTGAAAAAACTTTGTTTGGCTAGCCATAAGCTAGCTTATTGAAAAGCTCCTTTTTTTTGTCTACTTTGGCCATGTTTGGCAACCATAAATTAGCTTATTGAAAAAGCTCCGTTTTAGCTATAAGTTTTAGCTATAAGCCAGGTTGAAACACTACTTCAAGTAACTTTTCAATAAGCTATGGGGGTTTTTTCCACCTTTTTCCAATTATGCCCCTTTATAATTTTCCAAATAATTTTTCAACATGTCATTTTAGGTTATTTTATATGATCATTGAGCTTATCAGCTAGTTTTTACCAAACATAACTAGTTTATCGGCTAATAACTAGCTTATTAGCCAACAACCAGCTTTTTCGGCTAACAACTAGCTTATCATCAACTAGTTTGCCAAACATAGCTTTTGGTGATGCCTTCTGGTTATTCCTTTCTTCAAATATAGAAAACAATATGTATCATTGGTCTCCAGGCAAGTGAGCGTCGATGCGAAGAGTTGATTACACAAGTTCCTGAATCTACTAGGCCTCTTCTGAGGCAAATCGAGGCTATTCAGGTTTGTTGCATTTTACAAAATTGTTTCACTTTCAATTGTTCTCTCGTTGAACCCCCCTGTTCTACTGGTAATAGGAAACAACTGCTAGAAGGGTAGAAGCTTGGAATGCTGTGGAGAGATCACTAAACTCACGGCTTCAGGTCCTACATATTATATATATACATATAGGGTCAGGTTCAGGGAAAACCACAAAGAAATGAAAAACTGAGGAACACCCTTGTAACCATTTATTTGTACGGTGTGCACATGTGCATACAAGTAATTTTTAAGTAAGTTCTTTGGTATGCACATGTGCCTAGAAACCAAGAAACAACTTCATTTCTTATTTCTTGGTTTCTATTCACGTGTGCATGTTATGCACATGTGCATACCGGAGAAATTTCTTTCAAATTACTTGTATGCACATGTGCATACCTACAAATGAATGGTTACCAACTTACCATAGCGTTTCTCAGTTTTTTATTTTTTTGGGGTTTTCTCCAACCTCTCTCTCTCTCTCTCTCTATATATATATATATATATTTGCGGGTTTTTGCTGATATTTAAATCTGCAGGAAGCAGAGGCCAAAGCTGCAGGTTCAGAGGAAAGAGAGCGTTCTGTTAGTGAACGATTATCCCAAACACTATCTCGCTTAAATGTTCTTGAAGCTCAGGTGATTATGGTCAGATGGATTAAGCCGTACAATGATTGTCAGCATATAATAATAGTAATGCGTTGCAGATATCGTGTTTGAGAACTGAGCAAACGCAGCTAACGAGGTCGCTTGAGAAGGAAAGACAGAGGGCGGCGGAAAGTAGGCAAGATTATCTGGCGCTAAAAGAAGAGACATATACTCATGAAGGTCATGTGAATCAGCTTGAAGAAGAGATACGAGAACTCAAGAGGAAACATAAGCAAGAGCTGCAAGAAGCATTGACTCACCGTGAACTTCTGCAGCAGGTAGAGTTTTCACGTTATATCTATTTCTTCTAGAACATACATACATACATACATACATGTATATCAGACCTCTGATAGAAGTTTCTGGAAGACTAGGTAGTAGACTAGATGTGGGGACTTGTAGCTCGCATGGTTGGCAGAAGAGAGTTGGAGAGGCTTGGGGGGGGGGGATAGGGCTGTAAACGAGATGAGACAACTCGAGATCGACTTGGTCAACACTCGACTCGAATAGGCTCGACTCGAGATACTAACGAGTCGAGTCGAGCTACCCCATACTCGACTTGAAAAGCTCGTGAGATACTCAATTTGTTTTATATATAAGTAGTTCTATAATATAAATTATAAGCTATAAAAATATATTAATAAATTACTAACAAAAGAAAAATGGCGTATATTTTTAGATATTTGAACAAAACTGTACATTTTAACTATAAAATTAATCAATGATTATTTTTATTAAAATCATATTTATAAAAAGCCAAAAAACCTATAAAAGTTTTGGTGAAGTTGTACCACGTTGGAAAAGAGATGGTAAAGGAAGAGTGAGGATATGTTCTAAAAAGAGAAGGAGGTGAACGGAGTTGGTAACTTTGTGTTCTTGGTGATGAGTTTTATAAATTTTAAGAGTACGTCTTTAAGTTTTATAAATTTTAAGAGAAAACCCTTACATTTTATAAATTTCAATTTGATTCGAGCTTGATTCGAGTTTGAGTTTGAAGTTGGTTCGAGCTTCAAATGAGTTTGTGCTCAAGTTCGAGTTTAGAAAATTGCTATCGAGTTCTAGTTGAGTTTAGCTTTTAACTACTTGCGAGTTTTTGAGTCGAGTTCGAGCTTGGGAAATGGCTATCGAGTTCGAGTTGAGTATACTAATACTCGAGTACGACTCGCATCATTTACACACCTAAGGGGGGAAGAGGCTAGAAGTGTATAATTTCAACGTACCTACTCATTATCTTATTTTTCTATTTTTTCCGTTTTATGTTTCACCATGTGCTAGTCTTTGTTTATTCAATGTGTTTACTCACACTCTTGCACAAGTTGAGGGGATCTTCATGGAAACAACCGCTCTACTATTTGGGGTAGAGTCAGGCTGCATATATCCCACCCCTTAGACCCTTCTTTCAAGTGGGATTTACTTCAAGGCATGTTTGTTAACAACTTAATGAGCTTAATAGGACTCAGCTTATTTGGTCAGCTATACATGACTGTTTGGTAGTAACTTAATGATATAGAAAGTGGCTTATTCAGTAAGCTTCTAGGAAGGAGCTTTATGCAGAATGCCAAGTTTTTATCGAGCCTGTCATTCCAAATAAAAAACACGCTCCTTCCATCAATAAAAAGACCCTCTCAAAGAAAAACTCTCCCAATCTATACAGACAGATTAATCCACACAGTCAGCTTTATCCATACAGGACTTAATGGAAAAACCAACCAAATAACCCCTAAATCTCACTCGAAAATAGGGTCTGGATGGGGTGAGGTGAGATCTATGCAGACCTAACAACTACCTCCAAAAGTAGAGGGATTGTTTCACCCTTATACACAATCTTGTACATAAGTCATTAATTATGCTGCTGGTATTTACAGGATATAGAACGTGAAAAAGCAGCCCGTTTGGAACTAGAAAAAACGGCTTCTGCTGTTCCAGAGCAAAATCCTATAGCTAGAACGAAGTCGAGCTTTGAGAATGGTAGAGTATCTATTCGTATTTATAAATTATTTTTTATTTGGACTTCAATTTATGGACGGTTGATGTGTAGGGTTGAGTCGTAGACTCTCGAGCGCCGGAAGTTTGAGTAGTATGGAGGAAAGTTTTTATTTGCAGGCATCGTTGGATTCGTCTGATAACTTTTCAGAACGGAGAAATCTTGGAGAGTCTACGTATTATTTAAAGAGCAAAACACCAAATGCATTTGAGGCTGCCCTTCGACAAAAGGAGGGCGAACTTGCATCTTATATGTCTAGACTGGTATCTTTCATGAAAGCTAATACTTGCAGCATATTATTCTTGATTTGAAGAAGCAAGTTGTTTAACATAACAAGTGATAGCACATTCATGATGAATGTTCAAGTGTTATTCATCATGAATCACACATTCGTTATGAATATTCAAGAGTTAGTCATCCTCAATCACACATTCATGATGAATAACATATCCATATTCCTGATGAATATGCCACGTGTCGCACTGTGGGTGGTGCTTGGGTTGCTAATCAACTTTTAGGTTCCCCTCCCTCGATCATATGTAAATTTATGCAATGATGGTATTCATGATTGAATTATAGGCATCCATGGAATCGATTCGGGACTCTCTAGCTGAGGAATTGGTTAAAATGACCGGGGAGGTACGTTTTCTAATCTAATCATTGTCTTCTTGAGCATAAAGGTTCGTTGGCCCTCAGGTTACCGGTAAATCCTAGCCTTTTTTGAAGGTTAAGGGGGTTCAAACCTCTCACCAATGGTGAGGAGTGTTTATGAGTACTTACCGTATATAAATATGATATACTTCAAAAAGGCCGATTGTGGAGTATGAATGTATGTGCAGTGTGAGAAGTTACGGTCAGAAGTGGGTGAGGTGGGTGGCTTGAAGGCGGAGCTAGAAGCGTTAAGAAAGAGGCACTCTGCTGCGCTGGAGTTGATGGGTGAACGGGATGAGGAGGTACATATTTTACTCTTGATTGAATGAACACTTGAAGATACTACCATACGACATGGTTTAAATGAAAAAACTATAAATATTTTGAGAACAGTGACAACCAGTATACTAGTATATGCATATATATAAGGTTAGTTTCAGGAAACAATGAAGAAATGAAAAACTGAGTAACACCCTAGTAATCATTCATCTATATTGTATGCACATATAATTTGTAAGTAATTTTTTCAGTATGCACGTGTGAATAAAACATGCATACCATATAGTTGAATGGTCATTTTCCATTTTTTTGAGTCTCTGTCTATATGTATATATATATATATATATATATATCAAAATATGTTTAATGTTAATGAGTATATATTCATCAATGTATATCTACTAATTATGCATATATTTGTTGAAATCCATAGTGTATATGTATCAATGTGTACGTATATATTGGTATTTTCAAATATTTATGGTTCTCATCTTCGGTTACTAGCAAAATACCTGAAAGGGAAGGATATTAAAAAGGAAAAAATTGGAAGTAGTTAAAGATGAAATGTCGTTGTTTTTGGTGTAGCTTGAAGAGCTTCGAGCCGATATTGTGGACTTGAAGGAGATGTACAGAGAACAAGTAAATATTCTTGTAAATAAGGTAAGAAATTTGATTTGATTGGGGTAAATTGTATATGATATTCGACGGAGGTTCAAACGGGAAGACAGTAAAAACAAGAAAACACTGAGAACGCTCAAATAAAATCACATGCGATTACGAAACACGGTCAAAGGCGAACTTGACCCGTGGCCAAAGTTGCACCCTAATCACATGTGATTTTAGTGTAATATCACATGTGAATTGCCGTGTTCATGTTTCTTTTTGGTTTGAAACCGTTCTTGTTTGAACCCCACTCGATGATTTATTAATACTTAGTAGTAGATTTATGTGATTTCTTCATCATCATCATCATCATCATCATCTCATCATCATGATCTTGTGTAGATTCAGGTGTTGAGTTCATCAATTGCTGCTGGTGCCTGAGAGTGTTCATTTCTCTATCTTGTAGCTGAAAACTACTAGTAGAATGTTTGGTGAAAGATCGTTTATTTTGTGATATGATTTTTTGTAATTTCAATTGATTTTAAAAATTGCAGAATAATAATATTAATATTAATAGAAAATGAATTTGTGATATGTGAAATGTGAATGATATTACCAAAGGGAATTTGATCTAGTGGTGTCGTAGATTTTGCCCTCTTAGGAGGTCAGAGCTTCAAACCTCACCAAAAGTGAAGAAGGCATGTGTGTTTATTTGTTACATTTGTTGTATAAAAATATTATATACTAAAAAAAGATGGTATTGAAAATAAGAGTAAACTATAAATAACAGTATACATACTGGTATCGGTTTTGTACCAACTTTAAACTATATATATGAAAATCTTGTCATTAGTTCAAATTTTGAGTGAATATTTGAGTTTTCAGATAACATATGTAATGTTTAAGGATTTTTAACTGTAAAGAATAAAGCCTCTAAATATTCAAATGTTTAACCAAAATAGTGAAAGTTATAAAGTTTAATATTCAATATAAAAAAGAAATCATAAATTAATAAATAATTAAATAAGTAGGTATTATGATACTACTTGGTATGTAATTTTTAATACTGTATATCAATCAAGTTTATATATTTAATACAATATTAATACCTGATTCTGATTGATATGACTGAGATTGATACGGTTGATGAAGAAAAAAAGTAGTGGCAGACAATATTGGAGAACAAGAGAGCCTTCTCTCCTTCGTATTTATTATACTTTCTTCAAAATAAATATTATATATATATATATATATATATATATATATATATATATTTATTAACCTGGATATCTAACCTGCTATGTGAGTCGACTAATTTCAGAACGGCTATCTGCTTTGTAGATAGTCCGGAGTCACCATATTTGAATCTTTGTTACCACGAGGGGATTTTTATTTCTCCTCGGATTTGAACCCGAGACCTCCTGGTACTTTTGACATTTGGAGTCAAGCTCAAACCAATCAGGCACCATCCTTGTGGTTTATAATATTAATTTTTTTATACAAACTTAAAAAATATAATCAATATTAAATAATATTTTTCAATAAAAAATTCAATTCCTTATATCGCTTTATTTTACTAAAAAATTATTCCATCTTACAATAAAATATGACACCATTTTTAAAGAAATTAAGTTTTTTTTAAATATGTTATATTTATATACAGTAATAAAACAAATAAACTTGTGTATCTTTTTCATCATTGGTGTGGTTTGAACCCCTGATCTGCTAGGAGACCAAAAACTCACATACCGTTAGGACAAATGCTCTTTGATTAAAGAAATTAAGTTGTAAAATTTCATTCATAATAATTATTAATTACTATAATTTTTTTATACAACTTACCTTAATTAATTAATTGAATCTTTTCATTTTACTTTTCATGATATCGACATACTTGAAATCGTTACTTTATTAAGTTCAAGTTTATTGTCTCATATATTCGAGAGTATCTTAGACTAGCGGTCTAGCTCTCATTGATTGCTTGCATGGTGAGAGAAGAATAAAGTTGCCTTGTAATCTTAATTATCATTGATTTGATCGTATCACAATTCCATCATATATAACGATGCAGTCTGATATCAAATTACAGTATGCAATGATAATTTGTCATAGTTCCGTGTCCTGAAATGCAATATAGCGTATTTGATTCTTTTTTAGTAACAACTCCTGGTCCCCGGCGGGTACAGAGATTAACATCCCGTCCTCGGTCAAAAACCCATGAAGAATATTCGTTCGTTTGAGTCTATCGGAGATCCCCGGCTCCGGGACCTGTTTTTAGTAGAGAATCCCCGTCCCTGTTCGAGTCAGGTTAGTCGGGTTCCCCATCGGATCGGAGAAAATCAGATATTGTTTAAATTGATGGATATGATCTCTAATAAGTAAATTGCAATTGTTTTCTTAAATGAAAAGGGTTTATATACAAAATCTAATATTTGTATTTAATAATAAAAAACAAAAAGGGTTTATACAGAAAATATAATAATGAAGTTTAATTTTGATCCTTAATATTTTCAATCTTTTACAGGATATCGTCCCTAAATTTTAAAAACTCGGGTTTGGTCCCTTACATTTGTCAAGTCTCAACGGTTGTGATCCCTCTGTTTAAAAGTCGTTAACTTTTTCTGTTAAGTTCAATTAAACGAGAGGTATTTAGTAAATTTTACTATTTTTTTTACATTAAAAATAAAAAACATATTATATTTTTAATTTTAAATTGTTAAACAAAAAAATAAAAGAAAAATGATAAACACCACCTTTCGTTTTTTCTTTTTCTGTTTTACAATTTAAAATTAAAAAATATGTTGTTCTTATTTTAATATAACGAAAATAGTAAAAATAACTAAAATACTTCTGATTTAATTGGATTTAATGGGGAATGTTAACGACCGTTAAACAGATGAACCAAAACCATTGAGAATCAACAAACGTAAGGGACCAAATCCAAGTTTTTCAAATTCTACGGTATGCGTTGAAAATTACAAACTTTAGGGACCAAAATTCAACTTTACTAAAAAAAAAGCTAATAATACTATTTAATAAAAATAAATTAAAAAAGAAAATTAGGTTTTAAGGTCAAAGGTTTGGCAGAAATTAAGGAAGAGAAACTACTTTTTATAGTTGGTGGATATGACAACACACAAAACCACCATCAATTTCACTTAAACCCCTCTTGTTATAGATTTGATGCATATACACCCCTCGGATTATGAAATATATAAGAATAAACCCCTTTCGGGAAATCTCGATTCAATGTCATAAACCAACGATAATCAGATCATTTATGGCCAATCTGTCGACACACGCTTTTTAGTTTTTTCGGTTGTTTGGAACTGGCATCCAAAGTTATATAAATTTAAATCATCTTGAACAAATTTTAACAAGTTTAGTTGATCGAAGATATCCCTGTTTTGATCTATCACACAGGGATAAAACCATAGTATAGAGTTCGAAACCAGATGTTATATTGTCAGTCACGAGATCGATCACGATTGTTTTCATGACACGCACTTAAATTGCATCAGGCAATTTGATCCATTTTGATTATACTTGTTTCATATCAATGCAAATTTGAATCTTTTAATAGTATTATTGCATACTACATAGCATGCACATCATTGTATTTGTTAGGAAAATAAAAGAGCAAATTGCATGAAAAAGTAATGTACATTAACTTGATTTCTATTTGGGTAACGTACTTTCAAAACTTTCATTTTAGTATCTAAGATGTAAAGTTTAAACATTTAAGTACCCAGGTAACCGGTTGAAGCATTAACCGGTTMCCATGTTGATATGACGAATGATGCAGTAGTATTATTTGTTGACCCGAATATCTTAATCTAAAATTAGTTTTTATGTATTGTGATTTATTATAAGAAAGAGTTAATGCTTCAACCGGTTACTCGGGGTACTTAAATGTTTAAAACTTTACATCTTAGGTATCAAAATGAAAGTTTTGAAATTACATTACCAAAATAAAATACGTTACCTTTTCATGCAATTTATCTTAAGATAAAAATAGGAACAACTAATATTGAATATATGAAAAACTACAATGATCTAAATAGAATTAGCCATTTTTTTAAAAGTTTTGTAAGGAAAATTAATTAAACAGTCAGTTTTAAACTTTCTATTCATCTCTCAGTAATTTCTCTTCCAATATTTCATAAATATCATTACCTCTGCAAGTATAACTTGTCACTACCTCTGCAAGTAACAACTCTTTAACCTGCAAAAGTGTTGAAGTGTAAAAAAAGAATCTGATTCAAGTTCGCAAGTGTAGGGATCAAATCTGTAAATTAGTCCAAACGGAAATGTGACTTGCAACCTTTATCTAAGGGATAAATTCAAAGCGTGAAAATACTATATGTGTTAATTTCATTCTTTTAAGTTTTGTATTTTTATAACCACAAGGGTGGTGTCTGATTGATTTGAGCTTGACTCCAAAGGTCAAAAGTACCAGAAGTTCGCATGTTCAAATCCAATGAGAAATAAAAATCCCCTTGTGGCAACGGAGGTTCAAATGTGATAACTCCGGGCTATCTGCAAAGCAGGTGATCGCCATATGATTAGTCGGCTCGCATAGCGGGTTGGATATCTAAGTTAATAAAAAAAAGTTTTGTAGTTTTATCAAGATTTCATTTAGGGAAGAAAAAAACAAATATCTAAAAGATGGGATTATTCCACGTCAGCAGTTCATGTCTTTAACCTTCTACTCCTCACATGTTTAGCGACGGCTTTGATCCTTTTATTTCCTTCACGATACTTACCACATTTATACCCTCTCTCTCTCTCTCTCTCTCTCTCTCTCTCTCTCTCTCTCTCTCACACACACACACACACACACACACACACACACACGCTCTCTCTCTCTCTCTCTCTCTAAAACACACACACACACGCTCTCTCTCTCTCTCTAAGCCTAAACAGGCAGAGGGTTTCTCTCACTACAATATAAAGATCATCTCCGAATTTCACCCACGAAACTGAGCTGAATTCTCATCAACAAATCAATATCTTTGATGGGGTTTCGATCTTTTTTGGTTCTTCACAAAACCCATCGACAACTTCGACTACAATCAAACACATGAGGTGGGTTAATTTTACCCTATATATACATCAACATTCACTGCATATATATATATATATATATATATATATATATATATATATCTATTCTTCTTCTATATATACATATGGTATAGTTGAACCTTACTTTTGTCTCAATTTGATCATGGATCTTTATATATTATTGATTATGTGGAGAATTGAAAGCTTTTGGGTTTAGGGTTCCAATTGGTTTCGACACTCGAATTTGTACCAAATTTCAATTGAATCGTTGCCTTTACTCATGTGGCCAATAAAGTATTCCCTTTTAGAATTCTTTGGGCTATTTATATGCGTATGATTGTATGTATTTTGCCAGCAGATATCAATTGATTTTGTGTTATATATATATATATATATATATATATATTGATTGCAATTCAGTTGTTTGATCTCTTATTTACTCTAATTACATGTTTTTGTTCGGTGGATACAACAATGGAGTTTGTTTTTCCAGCTACATGTGTTTCCCATTAGTGTGATTTTATGTCGGGTAACTTGTTGGATTTGACCTAGCTTGCTGGTATATATATCATAATGCATATATATATATATATATGTGTGTGTGTGTGTATGCATATGTATATGTATGTATGTATGTATAGGTATGTAGAATACAAATCAAATACAAACCATGGAAATGTTACGAACCAATCAATTAAGATATGTATGTATGTATGTATGTATGTATGTATGTATAGGTATGTAGAATACAAATCAAATACAAACCATTGAAATGTTAAAAACCAATCAATTAAGATATTTATGGAAATGTTGGATTAGAGTTCATTTATTTATGATCAATGTTTTATATTATGAAACAATTAATATATTTATTAAACAATATATTATTCGTTAGACTAGATGGACGGTTGAGATTGGTTTTTAACATTTTTATGGTTTGTATTTGATTTGTCTTCTACATGTATATGTGTGTGTGTGTGTGTGCCCGCACGCACGTGTGTATAGAGAGAGAGATTTCAAATACAAACTATGTAAATGATACAAACCATACCAACCTTATATTTGGAACAATTGAGATATTTATAGAAGATGATAGAGTTCATTTATTATGATCACTGCTTCAGATTAATATTGGTTTGTGTGGTTTATAACATTTACATGGTTTGTATTTGAAACTCCTCTTTGTGTATATATAGTCTAAGTCTGATATATATATATATATATATATATATATATTTGGGTTCTTGATCGTATGTAAATGCGGTGAATGCACTTTATTGTTTATGAGATCAATGTTCGTGTTATACCCACGAGTCTAGCTAACGCTTTTTATGCCTCTTCCAAGTTTATTAAACGATTCGGTCTCCTAAGATCTAAACCTAATTGAATCATCAACTTACCAAATGTGATTTAGGGTTAGGGTTTAGGGATTAAAGAGTCTTTGCTTGTTTTTGTTCATTGTTAACTTCTGTATTTTATTACACGATATGATTACCGATCATCTTTATGATCAATCTGTAAAGATGATCGTTCGATGCTAATGGATTAATTTGGGTACGATATGAAAGTTTAGTTTTGCATCGATCTTGCAGAAATGATTGTCAATTAATGGGGACTGATATTTGTATATGCCTGCATTCAATGGAGATTGATTTCAACAAAGAAGAAAGGACTGAAACGAGTGAAGAATTCGCCAATTTTTCTATTCGGTATGTAATGTGTGAATTTGAATCGAAACTAGCATTCTTCGATCTTGTATTCATACGCGTCTACAGTTTACTTGCTGAATTTGGTCTGCATTTGATCACATTTTGGAAAATGGGTGATCCCAGTCATGTCATGGACATGACTGTAGTTTCACCCACAACCCTGATATATATATATATATATATATATATAGAGAGAGAGAGAGAGAGAGAGAGAGAGAGGAGAAGGATCATGCGAGAAGTTAAACGTTTTGTTGAGAAGGGGAGAAGTTCCCATAACATATATATGATTACACTCTTTTGTGTGAGTTTAATCATATATGATTAAACTTCTATGAGTTGTCAATGCAACAATTGTTTAATCATATATGATTAAGTTTGTGTATCATGCATGTAATCATAGATATGATATTGAAACTTCTCGCCTTCTCGCAAAATATTTAGCTTCTCGTTTGAACGTGCCCCTATATATATTTAGGGGAAAACCACAAAAAATGAAATTATAAAGAATACCCTTGGTAACCGTTCATCTCGATGATATGCACACAAGTAATTTATAAGCAATTTTTCTGGTATACACATGTGCATGCATAAAAACAAAAACAAAAACAACTTCAATTACTTGTATGTACATGTGCATACTGTCCAGATGAATGGTTACTATAAGGTGTTCCTTAGTTCTTCATTTTTTTTTGGGTTTTCTAGTGAACCTCCCTCTCTCTCTCTCTCTCTCTCCCTATACACACACACATGCATATATACACATATACATATACATACATAAAAGGGAGTATCAGAGAAAACTCAAAAAAATGAAAAACAAAAATGTACATGTGCATACAAGTAATTGAAGTCATTTTTGGGTTTTATGCATATGTGCATACCAGAAAAATTGCTTACAAATTACCAGTATGCATATGTGCATACATCCAGATGAACTGTTACCAGAGTGTTCTTCATTTTTTTCATTTTTTTGTTGTTTTCTTTGAACTTCACCCTACATATACATATGCATATACATATACATATGCATATACATATACATATCGTGGGATTGTATGAACTAACGACAGAAGAACAAAAATATTATCTTTCGTATGAATGTTTCGGAAGTTTTTGGTATTTTTGAAGCTCTTGTTCTCCTTGGATTCATCTAAAAACCAAAAAAAATCGATGGTCGCTGTTTTTCCCCCTCGATGCAGTGAATATGTAGCTGGAATTCGCATGAATGATCGGAGAAAATGTTGGCCTTTTGGATCGTTGGGTGATCCCGATAGCGATGAGGTTTTCGCTTCATATCAATTTCCCGAATGTAGATTTATTTCTAGTCAAATCCGTCCAGAGAACATCGATGGTTTGGATTATACAACAGAACAAACAGAGGCTCCTCTCGACTGTAAGCAATTATTAGATTTCATTAGGAAACGGGAAGTTTATCGTTCGTGTTGTCGTATGTGCAATCTGGCAAGTCCCGTTACCCTTTAGGGGTTGAAGCGATTAAGCGTCGGGGCTTTGCTGGCTGGCTCGTGCAAATGCACGAGCCAGCCAGTGTGGTGGTGAACACGTTGTGCTGTAAGCTATAAGCTGTCTGGCTGATTCACCGACGTGCCCGTTTTTGCTGATCCGCCCTAAAACTATGCCGTTGTTCTAATAGTACAAGCTAAGGATCGTCTTAATTTTCTTAAATTTCTTGATGGGATTTCTATACAGATATGATTGAATATCTAGGAATTGAGGGCAAAACAATATACGATGACAAGGTGAATAATGCTCGATTCCCGCAAGAAAGTAGCGTCGATGAAGGTGCGAAAATTGGGAGAACGGTGGCTGCTGATAACGATGAGCCTGCACGAAGAAATCGGCCACGAAAAAAGGCCCAGAAGTTTCTTTTGTTATCTGACATATTGAGGGATCTCGCAGGCCCGTCTGGTGGATATCATGTTCGTTGTAATATGACGAATCCCGACAACGTTAACAGTAGATTCGTTACAGAAACTGAAGATGAGTCGGACGAGATCACTTTGGATGCGTTTTTCAGAAAACAGAAGGGTGTTGAAGTTAAGATCAAGAAGAAGAAGAAGAGCAAGATGGTTCGAGTCGAAGAGTTGATAATTGGTCGGGATAAAAGATCGAAACGTGGATCCAACGACTCGAATGAAAAAGATTCGGATGTTGGTCCCGGAAAGCAAAAGGTATTTGCTTTATAGGACCAGACAATTGTGCTTCTATGTAAAGGGGTTATAATAAGCTCATATAACGTCCTATTAGTCTTTTTATATGATATTTAAAAAGTGTCTTATTAAAAAGACGAGCTCATATGACACTTTTCAAAAGTGCGCCGTTAAAAAAAGGCCGATAAGACGCTTCATTTCAAAAGTGTCTAAAAAACCTTGTTACTTACAACACCCAAAAACGTCTTATCAACTTATTGTAACCCTTTTACGTAGGACGTTCAAACTTTTGGTTCTATAAAGCAATCTATTAAGACATTTAGACATCCTAATAGACAGCTTTATATGACCAAACAATTGTGCGTATGTAAAGGAGTTACAATAAGTTGATAAGACGTTTTTTGCTGTCCAAACAAATTTTTTAGGATACTTTTGTAATATAGATGTCTTATCAGTCTTTTTATATGACATTATTTGAAAAATGTCCTATAAAAAATTGTTTACAAGACATTTCTCCTATTAAAAAAGGGTAATAGGACACTTCATTTCAAAATTGTCCTAAAAAATCTGTTCTGAACGCTTAAAAATGTTCTATCAACTTATTGTAACACTTTTACATAATATGCACACACAAATGTCTCATTCTGTTAGGACATTTAGACGTATTTGGCGTCCTATAAAGCCGGTTTAGTTTCAAAGTTCATTCATTTCCACGACGGTGTTTTTGTTTTCTCAGGCTTGTTCTTTAGAAAACAGATACGCAGAAGTTTGTAGTACGGCACCTACAAAAACGGCCAACGAAGATTCCGAAATGGAGGCTGTGATGTTGTTGGCTAGCCATTTTAACGAAGAGAATCCTCGATTGACAAATGGTGCAAAAAAGGCTCAAAAAAAGACGGAAATGGAGCTTCTAGAAACAACTAAACATGTCGGTTCTTCACCATCTTCGTTCAAACGAGAAAGAAATCGTGATCAAAGATTATTTGCAAATGCCAAGATTTCGAATGACGCAGAAATGGTTTGCGCTTGTGTCCAGAAAAAGATCCGTATCCGTTCATCGAAAACTGTAACTAGAGATCGAGATTTCTATGCCGATACCCGCAAGAAGTTTTCTAAAGAAAAGCTAGAAATCCGCAAGATGAAGGCTGGTCGAGTAGAATGGAATGCGGAAAACCGTGTGAATCTGGTATGCACGATGAATAGGAATCCGGCTGATATCAGTATAGCAAATTCTGAAAACGAGTTCATGAGAGGAGGTTGAAATCTCGATATACGGTGTTCCTAACTTTATGGGTCGAATCCGAGGCGATTTATGGACGGTTTTCTAACCGAAAATTAAGGATTCTAATGGTTACTAGTCTTCAAATCAAAGAAGAAAAGCTTGGAGAACTTTGAACTTGTTCCAAATAATAAGCTTGATTCACATGTGAATAGTTGAATTTGATGAATCTCAGAATCCCTAAAGCTTATACCAACACATTCATCCTGACAGATTAGTTTTGTTTTCACTGCAACAAAATCAGTTTCACACTACGCCAAAAACGTCTAAATGGCACATTGTATGTACGGGTGCCCATGAGTTGGGTTGATCGGGTTGAAGACATTTGAACAACCCAATCCAATGTTTGTGGTTTGAAAAATCTTAACTCAACCCAATCCAAACCGTACGGGTTGGTCGGGTTGATAGTTTGATACATTAAAACATTCTTCTAACCTTGAATATGTTATTTCTCTACTCATAATTTCTTTTTCATCATCAACCATTTTATACAACTTATCCATACTTCTTATGTATATCACATTCAGTTAATTTTCTCAATTTACATATATATATATATATATATATATATATATTAACAGTTACTGAACATATATAAGTGATTTGAGATATTTTTTTTTCAAACTGTACGGTTTGAAAGGAAATGTTCAGATTCCGGTCTATTCTGATCGGTCTAGACGGTTTCACTTTAAACGATTCATGATCTTCAAAAAGAACGCATTTACGAACATGTTACAAGCTTCATTCGAACACATCTAATATTTGCAAGATTCAATTTTCTAAACTCGACAACGAGAAAACTAGATACCGAGATTTCAGTCGGTTCATCGGCACGCTAACGATCTCGGGTTTTCTAAACCGTCACTCGGGTCATTCTCGTTCACCGTTTCATGTGTACATGGTCCATAGGCCCAACTACACGCAACGAAATAGAACAAATTGCCGAAACTCATTAACGCAAGAACCCAATAGTAAGCATCGTACCGGCCCCGATTGATATTGGTCGAGATCCACCCTTCTTGGCCGCTTGTTTTGGTTAGATTCTCCACCGTGCTTAATATACCGCTAGCCAACAAGTTAGCCACCGCCATCCCGACCAAAAACAGTGAAGCTGCCGTGCTCGACATGCTTTTCGGGAACTCCGAATAATAGAATTCGTTCTGCGCGATCGCGCTAAAAGCTTCTGCTAATCCATGGAGGCAATACTGCGGAACTAGCCACATTGCCGACATGTTTACGACGGATTGAGGATCATTCACAAGTCCTTCTTCGATCGCTTTTCTTCTTCGAAGATGTTCAACAATGGCGGAAATCACCATGGCTATGGTGGAAATTACGAGACCGATTCCCATTCGGAGTTTAACACCGAGATGAACCGGTTTTCCGACAAGTTTTGATGCAGACGGGATTATTAAACTATCGTATAGAACGACCCAAATTGCTAGCGTAGCGATGGTGAAGAAGGCGAAGGAGGCTGCGGGAATTTGGAAGCTTGAGGTGCCGAGATGTCGATCCATGGTCGTTGCTTGGATTACCGGAAACGATGATTGGCTTACATTTATCGACATCATGAGGCCCGTTGACCAAATCGGGAGAACTTTGATTAGTGATTTTAGCTCCTCGACTTGTTCGACGGTGCATAAACTCCATGGATCCGAAGCAATTCCGTCCGGTGTGAGGTCTTTCGGATTCTGAACGATGCAAGCTTTATTCAGGAACCTAGAAACGATCGATATGTTAACGATTCGTGGAGAAAGATAGCATCATAACCGGGTTACCCGGGTCCATAATTGTTTAAAACTTTACATCTTAGGCATCAAAATGGAAGTTTTGAAAGTACGTTATCCAAATAAAAATCAAGTTGAAGTACATTAATAGAATGTATAATTGTTTAGCCCTATAAACTGAAGTTTTATAAGGGTGCGTTTGGTATCCAGACAGTACAAGATAGGAGTGAACAATTATTCAGCATTTGGATAGATAGAACTGGATAAGACATAACAGATTAAATGACTAATTTACCCCTAAAGTAGTATATGAGAACATTTAGACATATTTATCATCCTATAAAGCCGTTTCAGTTATAGAATAGTGGAAATACCCGAGTCTCTTGGTGGGGACGGTGTTCGAATCCTTAAGACGATAATGCCACCGATTGGAATCGACAGTCCCGGCAACGATCTTACGGTTCTTATACGCAACAACAATCACTCGTGCGAAGCTAGTGAACACGCTCTTCTCGACTTTCGTCTTGACATAAAGCGAAGAAGCTACAAAGAACAAAATGGATGACAACAACATGAAAACAACCGGAACCCCAAAACCGACCTTCCATCCGGCATGATCTTGGATATAAACGATCCCCGTAAACGCAATCAAGACGGCGGTGGCACCGGCGGCGTAATACCAACCGAAAAAGCTTTCCAATGCCCTTTTATTGTTGGGGTTATGCTTCTTGTGGATTTGGTCTGCACCAAATGCTAATGAACATGGCCTAACACCACCTGCTCCCATGGAGATGAATATGAAGGCAAAGATCAAGAAGGCAAATTGGGAATTTGTGGGTGGTTTGCAGGTTGAAGTTGATTGATTGCAAGAAGGTGGTTTTAGTTGTGGAACCATTGTTGTTAACCATAGTAGGAAGGTGCCCTGCAACAAAATCGGTTTTATAGGACGTTAAAAATGTGCTGTTTGGCTGGTTTTTATTAAGTACTTTATGGATAAAGTTGTCTCTGTGGATTAATCTGTCTGTATAGATTATGGAAGTTTTTTTCAAAGATGAAAGGAGTGTGTTTTGTTAATTCGGAGCGATGGGTTTAGAAAAACTTGGTTTCTGTATAATGTTCCCTAGAAGCTTATTGAATAAGTCACTGTCTATATATTAAGCCACTACCAAACACTTGTGTATAGAATGTCCTATAATTACGTCTTTGGGAAATTAACCAAAATAGCCGACCTCCTTAACCAAGTTTACTTTTTAGCCACTTTTGGCATCTGAGCGGCTAAAATGGGAATTTGATTGGAAAGATGGCTAAAAAATGAATTTGGTTGGGAAGATCGACTATTTTTGTCAATTCCCCTCGTTCTTTTCATGGAATATTTGTTTTATTATACATTTTTTTTTCAAATAAAAAAAATAAGTGGTACGTTCTGTTTCAAAATTATCCAAAAATAACTTATTAAGACGGCCAAAAACGTCTTATAAACGAACATTTACATAGGATGTCTAACTATTTGGTCATGTAAACTTATTGTAACACATTTACATACGTTACACAACTGTTTAGTCTTATAATAAAACAATAGACAGTTATATGAAACAGTCTACATATAAGGCAGTTTGTTAAGATATTTTCTATAAAACCAGTTTTATCGAAATAAAGATTCAATTTTTTTAAGTATATATAATATTTATATATGATAAATAGAACAAATAAACTCACACATCCTCTGGTGAAGGGGTTTGAACCCTTGACCTTCTAGGAGGCCAATGACTCACGTACCGCTAGGCTAAAGACTCTTTGATATAAAAATTTGAAATTATTGGTACTTTTCTTGTGGGAAGGTTAGTAAATGTTACCAGAAGGGAAAAGAGAGAACCCAAAGCAATGGTGCTGAACCGACCCAGATATGAATCAGAGAGAAATGCCCCAAAAATTGGAGCAAAATTGGTGGCTGCTGACCAGAAAAAGAGTATGTTTGTGCCTTTTGCCACCCCAATCTTGTAATCATTCATCAAATACAGTATCATGTTTGGCACCAATCCATAGCTCCCCACCTTCTCCAATGCCTCATTTCCTGCAATTTCATTTCAAGAATGTCACCTTGGAAAACTCGGGTTTCCGCACGGTGGTTAACGTTCGGGGGATGTAGTGAAAATCTCATCTTTTTTGGGTTTGAACGTGGCAAAACCCTTGTCGCCGTAGCGACGGGGTGACTCTAGACGCTGCCAAAGCTCTTGTGGCCATGGAGGCGAGTCGAGGCCGTTTAAACCGACTCGGAAACCCACGGGTGCCAAAAAAGTTGTGAAAATGCGAAATCGATTGTGAAGATGGTTGCTTGGATGGTAATGGTATTAGAATGTGGGTTTGAATGTTTATATGATTTGGTTGGCATTTGCATTTGCATACCTATAATGAAAGGCATTGTGATTAAGCCACCTTTGTGGTTTCTTGTTGAGAGCTCATGTGCTGGCTGATTCACTTCATCAACTTGCTCCCCCATTTTCAGTTCCATCCACTATAGAATCTTTATGGGTTCTCTCTTATATATATATATATATATGATATATATATACATATACATATATATACACTAGTAATTGCTTGCTTTAGCTTTTACAAGTATAATCACAAAAACAATTAAAAATGGATTTTACTCGTCAAAAATGGCTATTTTGTTTTTGGGCAAATTGCATTAAAAAGTAACGTACTTTGACTGATTCTTATTTTGGAAAACATATTTTGAAAATTTTCATTTTGATACCTAAGTAAAGTTAACCGGATGAAATATTAACCGGTTACCATGTTGATGTGATCGGTGGTGGAATGAAATTGGGTTGAATAGCAAATAATATTGAGTTGGACGTTACATCACTCGCCACATCAGCATGGTAACTGGTTAATGCTCCATTCGCTTACCCGAATACTTAAACGTTTAAAAATTTACATCTTAAATACCAAAATGAAGGTTTTGAAAATACATCACCCAAAATAAGAATCAAATTAAAATACGTTATTTTTTTCATGCAATTTACCCTTTTTTTTAAATCAACACAAAATAACCACGTATTTTACAGAAAAATGAACAAACTTCTTGCTAACCCTTTTTGCAAGTAGTCCTTGAAAAAGGTATTATTGGCACACAAAAAAAAAACATGGTTCTTGTTGTTAATAAAATATCTTTGTTCTAACGGTATGTGAGTCTTTATCTTCTTGATAAGTAAGCGATAAAGTTGAATTTAGTAAACCCCCCCCCCCCCAAATAATCGATCATCATCTACACAACTTAGGGTCTTTTTGGCTCATGTTGAGAAATGAAAATGATAGAGAATGAATTTCCATTCCGTTCAATTTAACCAGGAATGAAATTTTGAGCTTCTGTAGGAATGAGTCTATTATATTATAGAAAACCAAACAGTTTCTTTTATTTTCATTCCCGTTACAGATCATATATCAGTACTTACTTTTTACATTTTTATAACAGAATTTATGATATATTATTTGATTTATTGTAGTATTACCCAAAAGAAAAGCTATTTTACCATCTTGGTCATAGCTTTGGACCACAACCTGTTGCTTGTGGATGTCATGTTACTCAAGAATAGGATTGGTCTACCCTTGTCCTTATCAATGTGAATTTGTTTTTTTCCCACTATTTTTTTTATTTTTTTATTTTAAAATAAATGATTTTAGGTATCGTTTACTAAATACTTATTCGGATAAGAGTTTACTAAGTCGTATTTTTTTACCAGATGAATAAGGCAACGACCAAGAATCTTATCTGGTAAGAGCGAAGTCACGTGCCGAAAGTCTTACCCGGTAAATGCTGACGACGACTCTTACCACGGTTAGTGCTTACCGGGTAAATTATTACATAGTAGACTAAAATCTCACCCGATAAGTAAGCGATAGAGTTGAATTTTACCGTTAAGCGTTTACCGGATACATTGTTAAGTTTTTCTCATGTAAATTTTTCGGTGACCATAAATACATATGTATATGACAGGATTCGAATCTAAGTTGATTCTGTTATTTCAGTCTGTAGTTTTATTTTTTCTTTTTTTATACAACTAAATTACAAATTTCATATAGCAATTGTTTAGTGGGTTTTTATTTTCCAAAAAGAAATCCAATCTTTTCATATGATGGTTTTTTTTTTTTTAAGGGTGTCCGAGCCAAAGCCCGATTAATCCCCGGCAAATTTGGAGGCTAAACATGGCCCCACTTAAATGTCGCCAACACTCCYYTCMCAGRGCTCGAACTCGGGTTCATGACTATGTCATGCCCAAGCCTTTACCACTAGGCTGGAAGGTCTTTGACTTCACATGATGGTTTGTCAGTAGTGATGGTCAAACCGGTCCAGTCTGAACCGAAATTTCAAAAAAACTAGTAGTTATGTAGCCTTTTTTTTGGATTTTTTTTGTCTTCTAAACATTATAAATATGTGTCTTAGCTTGAGGGGTTTACATACCAAGTTTTCAATTTGCAAAAAAACGCAAAAAAACCGTTCACTAAAATAACTTTATAATGTATTTTTGGAAGACAGTGTAATTTTTATTATAATAAAACACATTTTTAAAGTGTATTTGAGTTACCCAATTACAAATTTTATAATGTATTACAAATATATAATATTAAAAAATTATTTTTAATGGTTGGGACCGGGAGCGGCCGACCATAACCGGTTATAACTCACCTTAACCGGGCTCAACATTATTGACCGGGACCAGTTATGCTTGGACCAATTACGGCCAACACTGTTGAAGCCTGGGACCGGTTTTTGGCCATCACTATTTATCAGTAGGGCTTTTTAAATTTTGTTATTTTTAATTTTAATAAATAGTTTTATGATGGAAAATAAATTGGATTTTAGTTGGGTGGGGTTTAAAATGCCCACCAAATGAATAATTCTAAAATTATTGTATAAATGAAAACCAACAAATGAATAAATACAATTGCAAATAATGTCACATATCATTAATTTTGAAATTATTGGTACCAAAATTGTTTTATTTTTCTTTTTCTTTTTCTTTTTAATATTATTTTTAAAACATTTTTACATTGAAAACGTCTAAAATAGTAATTATGGTTAGTTCTGTTCATTTTATAGCCACATTTTTAAATGGTTGGCTGAAATAGCCAAGATTTCGTAAGTAGCATTTTGACAACTTGCAAAATCCAATTTTATGAATTTAATGATCATAAAAGGTGGATTTTATATAAGTTGTTGTAGAGTGAAGAGACAGTCCAAATGACTATTTTGGATAATTACCCTAATATATATATATATATATATATATATATGTGTGTGTGTGTGTGTGTGTGTGTGTGTGTGTATAGGTTGGGTTATTGTGAGAAGTATAAGAAGGGATCTTCATCATCGTATGTACATTAAGATGATATGCACTTGATTGATCCTCGTATCAAGCGCAATTCATGGGTGGGCTTGAGATTAAAGATGATTAAGAGTTCAGATCTCTTCTTACGCTTCTCTTCTTAACAACTTCTCATCTTAACTCTCTTTTTACGGTTTTTACAAATTGAAGTGGTTTTCATTTGATCGTTCCCCTATATATATATATATATATATACATATACATATACATAGGGGAGCGATCAAATGAAAACCACTTCAATTTGTAAAAATCGTGCAAACCACCCTCCCCTATATATATATATATATATATATATATATATATATATATATATATATATAGCCAAAGGTTATTTTGAAAAGTAGTAAATATTTGAGAAGTAACGAAGTGATGCTAACCTTCATACGGTCAAGATCGGATTTGGCTGGTTAATAATTGCAGCTTTGACTGATCAAAAGTTGTGGCTGTATGAAAAATAGATAGAGTAGTTTCGTAATTTTGTAAATGTGCGGCAAATGAGTTCATAAATGAACCTATGTGATTCACATATGAACTATATGTTCATATATGAACTCATGTAATTTACATATAAACTATTTTAACCTATTCACATAAGAACTTGTGGGTTCATATATAAACCCGTTAAATAGTTCACACTTCTCAAATAAATCAATAATATTTTAATCATATTGCCGAATTAAGTTTCTGTAACAAAACAAATTTAAAAGAAATATAATTCAAATTACATTTTTAACAAATTAAATGATTTTTTATTTTTAATAATAGAAGAAGTAATTAATTTTTAATTAAAATGGAATAAAAAATATACAGTTATTTAAAAATAATATTTTTTATTTTATTAAAAAAAGGGAGTACGGAAAGAAAGAGATAGAAGGGGACTTAACATAAAAGCTGGAAAGCTATCGGACACACGTGCGGTTGTGCATATCAAAGTTAACACCACCCTCATTATTACTTGTCTTTTCTCAATATATGCTTTATTTATTTCATATAAAAAAATAACGTATTTTAATTTAATTTTTATTTTAGGTAATATATTTTTAAAATTTTTATTTTAGTATTTAAGATGTAAAATTTTAAACATTTAAGTATCTATATAATCGGTTACTATGCTGATGTGACAAGTAATGTGGTATCCGACTCAGTATTATTTGCTGAAATATTAACCGAATATCACATCACTCGTCATGTAATACTATGTATAAATATGTGTCTTATAATCAAGTGATGTAAAGTTTTAAACATTATAAATATATGTCTTATAGTCAAATGGTGTCATTGTTTGAAAAAAAAAATTATGGGCTCGTCCATGTATCTTCTTTACAAAAAATACTACGTATTTTTGTGTGTGTGTGTGTAGAGTTGAGTTTTGGTGAAAAAGAGATTAAGTTGAGAAGCGTAAGAAGAGATCTTCACCATTGGATGCACAGATGGACCGAGATGCGCCGAATTAATCACTGTATCAAACACGATTTATTGGTGGATTTAAGATTAAAGGTGATCAATGGTTCAAAACTCTTCTTATTTTCACTTTAACTCACATTCTCATACGTTTCTTCACCTATATATATATATATATATATATAAAGTATTAATCATAATTAATGAACTCTATTCATATTCCATAAGTATTCAAATCATAATAAATGAACTCCCATCATTTCTATACATATCTCAATTAATTGGGTTGCAAGGGTTGTACAAATACACAAGGTTGTAAAAGAAATATACCATATATATATATATATATATATATATATATAGGGTTGAGTTCACGTGAGACCAAAGGTTTTTCGTGAGACCCGTAAGACCAATTTATGTTCATTGATCAACTTTATAAGCTAATGATCTAATGGTTTAAAGTTACATGGTGACAATTTTGTGATTATGAATGTTCAGATTGTAAATCTAATCCAAAAATTGAGAATTTGTCTTACGAGTCTCACGAAAAATTTTTGGTTTCACATGATCCCAAGTACATATATACATATATATATATATATATAACTTTTATATTGAAGTTATATATATGTATTTATGAATTATACATATATATATATATATATATAACTTTTATATTGAAGTTATATATATGTATTTATGAATTATACATATATATATATATATATATAACTTTTATATTGAAGTTATATATATGTATCTATGAATTTTGCTAATAATTAATTTTAAAAGATGAGATGGAAAGCCAAACGTTCAAATGATATGTTGCAGGATGGGGCTGGGCCTAGGTAGCATGCTTTTGCACATGCATGAGACACCTCACCCTATCAACATCATCATCATGATCAACATGATCATCACCACCACCATACCATCATGATCATCATCATCATCTAATTGAGGGTTAAGTCACATGAAACATACCCCCACCTCTTTAGTTTCCATGATTCGATGGGATTTGAAATTGAATTTCACCATAATTTCGTGTTCTATTAAAGAAAAGTTTGGAATTAAAATTAGGAGATATCAATAAAATTTCATAAATATTGGACTTACAAATCCAACATAGTATTTGGTATTTTATCAGGTTTTATAAAATTTGTATGTAATAATGTTTCAAAATATGTTAAAAACATTCACTTTGTAATAATTAATTGATAGAAAAAATAATTTAATTACTTTTATTATTTGTTAATTCCAATTCAAATCCTATAAATCTAATATTTTAAATACTTTCGTTAAATTCAAATCCTTCAAAAACATTATGTCTAGAGACGTTTGGTTTAACGGAATGATTTTGAGAGATTTGGATTTCATGAAACAATTTGAAATTTAAGGGATTCAGTTTTGGAAGGATTTGGCCTCTTTTTTACATTTTTCTTTTAGAATTTGGAATGAAATTAAATTCCATTTTTTATAAATAATTTATAAAAATAAATTATAAAAAATAATTAAATTACCTTTTTATTCAATTGATTATTACATAACAAATGTTTTTAATATATTTTAAAACATTATTACATACAAATCCTAAGAAATCCCATGAAAAACCAACCCCACAAAATTTCAAAATCCTGTTTGTAGGATGTTTATGAAATCCCTGGATTTCAGATCCAGTAAATCTTTCAAACCAAACATGAAATTAGAATGAAATTCAATTTCAAATACCTTCAATACCAATTCAATCCTTCAAACCAAACGGGACCTTATTCTGTACAAAATACCAGATACATGGCTCGATGAAAGTAAGATGTAGGCAGCTATTTCCTCTCTTCTGAACGGTAAAACAAAAATATACATCATGTTTGTTTGTTTTGAATTATATAATTACAACAAATAGAACAAATAAACTCATACACCCTCCTCACCATTGGTGAGGTTTGAACCCTTGACCTCCTAGGAGGCCAAGGACTTACATACCGCTAGGTTAAAAGCCATTTGGTTACATCATGTTTGTTTATGTTAATATTGTTATTTTTTAAGAAACATACAAATCAAACAAGTTACAAAACCAAGTTTATGATGCATACATATCTTTACCATCTAATTTTGACCATCAAAACTCAAGATTGGCACCATTCTTCAAGTGTTGGAGCTAATACTCCAATATTCTTCATGTCGAAAATATTCGCTATTTCAAAAAACATTAAAACCCGTAAGTAGCGATCTGGATCTTTTTTTTAAGTATATAAATATTTTTATATAACAAATGCAACAAATAAACTCATACTCCCTCCTTACCTCTGAATCTGTAAACAACATTCTCCCAATACTTTACAAGTTGTTATTAAGACTTGTAGCAACTCCAACTGTTTCTGTTATTTTGGGTGGCTTTTCATTTTACCTGATAATGAAGTGTTCTATTTGTAACATCCCAAGCTAAGCGTACAAAATATTATCTGCTTGAACTCACGGTTTTAAAACGTGTCTGATTAGATGAAGTATGCGGTCCCTTATAAGTTATAATGCAACCTTTACAAGATCAAACCTAGGGCTCTGATACCATATGTAACATCTCGGGCTAACAGTACCAGCTATTTTCCGCTTTGTCCACAACCTAGACTGACGGTTTTAAAACGCGTCTGATAGAGAAGGTATCCGGTGTTTATAAGACAACTTTTTGTTCCCCTCCTCAACTGATGTGGGATCTTACACTATCAGTGTTTATTCTACATTATTTGAAATAAAACGTCATATTAGTTTTTCCATTAAAGATTTTATCATGTTAGTAATAATAATAAACTACATAACCTTTATACTTGAACTTTTCTTGCTACAAGTTTAACGTGGAATAAAAATCTGGGATTTTTTTATTTTCATTCCCGTTAATTAATGCTTAATACGTCTTATCAAACACCCACTAATATGATTGCAATCCTGCCTTTATCAATTTCTATTTAACCACCTTTGAAGGCTAGACATCATCAATGCCATCATTGTTCACATTCCTTTTTCATTAACCTCCAATTGAAAGTGACAACCAAAAAGGTCGAGTACTCGAGTTCAACTTCTTCGGTTAAGTTGTCATGTAGTTGTTTAAGGGTGTGTTTGGTATACAGATAGGACTACACAAAACTGGACGGGATGAGACTGGACAAAACTGGACGGTTGAGAGTGAGATAGATGGGTGGTGAAATAATTATCGAATGTTTTAGTGTTTTAATTTAACATGGGTGGTTTAGTAATTTACGAATCATATGACATCTCCTTATTTTTGTTCCACCTCTGGGTCTTGTCCTGCCAAATTGTGGAACAGGTTTTGTTCTGTCATGTTGCGTTGAGTCCTGCGTACCAAATGGAACAATAACTCCCTTCTAGGTCAAATCGTCGTCCCACTATCAAAACTATTCGGATGACGACTTGACTAATCACCGTTCCACGATCAGAACTACTTGTTTGATATATATTTTCGTTTTGGGAAGGAATAAAGAAGATTAGAGATGCAATTAAATACCAGCACTCCTAAAACAAAGAAAAGATGTGAGAGATTGTAAAAATCTCTAAGGCTCTGTTTGTTTTTACCTAAAAAGCACTTAATACCCTCTTATGTCTGAACCGGTCAGACCTTAGGGTATTAAGTGTGTTTGTTTTTTTTTTTCAATTAAGAGCTTAAAAGCTCTGATTATGTCTGAATTATTTAGAGGTAACATTTTCACTTAAAACCTCTTAATTGCTTTTAGAGCTTCCAAAGCTTGCAAAAGAAAGCCTAGATTTCAATGATTCAGATTTCAGATTTCAGACGTAAAAACAAACAGTCTGACTGATTCAGATTTCAGACTTCAGCATCACCTCTTAAAATTCAGAAGTGAATTCAGACTTCAGACTTAAGCACCTCTTAAAAAACAAACGCCACCTAAATGTTTAGGAGAGAGAAATAATATTTTATTAGATGTATTGAATATTTTAATAATATAGTTTATGTTAGAATTGCTAAAATAGAGTAGTAGTTGAAGTTGAATGTAATTCTTTAAGAGACTTTGACTCTCAATACTCTATTTTAGAAAAAAAATATAGCATAGCTGTTGGAGATGCTCTTAAGCTATATTTAGCAAACTAGCAAATAAATTAGTTAGCTGTTAGCTAATGAGCTAGCTATTAGATGTACTAGCTGTAGCTAAAAGCTAATTATCAGCTAGCTGCTAGCTGATAAACTAGTTGATAAACTGGTATTCAGGGAAAAATAGATGGATAAGCATACATACCAGCATGTATATCAGGTGTAGCAGCAGCAGTGGCATCAATAATAACAGTAACAGACTTGTAATCAAGTGCTACACCATCAAAAACAGTCTGCCTTATGCAATTTGGAGTTTGAACACCTATAATCACATATTCAGCCCACTTTTAGCTATCACTTGAATCTTACACCAAATCCGTAAAAATTGACGTAAAATTTGGTGCAAACAGTAAATCTTCTCCAATGGATAACATCAAATCTTACACAAAAATGTACGATTCTAAGTGTTTTCCTTTTTATCTTCTCCAATTGGTGTAAATGAACAGTGTTGCACCATATCCTTTGTATTGGGGCTCGGTGATCCCTGGCTTCACGCAAAATAATCTCATGGCAAGTCGCAACTGTAGGCTTCACCCACAGCCGTCAAGTAAGTGGCCACAAGCGCATATGTAGATTGCAGGATTCGAACTCGGGTTGATTTTATCATCCCCTTGTCTTTATCCACTATGGTACCACCCTTGTGGTTATATTACACCAAATTTGGTGTGTTACTATTCATTACACCAAATTTGGTGCAAGATTTGGAGTGATTCCGTATCATATTTTGGTATTTAGTGTAAGATTTAGGGTCGTTTACCAAATTGTTACTGGGTAAGCACTTACCGGGTGTCACAAACCTTACCGGTGAGCATGACAAGGACGAAGAATCTTACGTAGCAAGAGGCATAGCAATGACCAAGGGGTTGTTTGGTTGGTTTTCCATTAAGTCCTCTATGTATAAAGCTGTCTGTGTGGAGTAATCTGTCCGTATAGATTGAAAATGTTTTTGTTTGGAGGGTTTTTCCATATATGGAAGGAGCGTGTTTTTTTATTGCAAGGGGCAGTTTTTAAAAAAACTTGGCTTTCTGCATAAAGCTCCCTCCTAGAAGCTTACTGAATAAGCCACTACCAAATAGTCATGTATAGCTCACCAAATAAGTGGTGAATCCCATTAAGCTGCTAACAAACAGACTCTTACCCGGTAAGTGAGGGAGATGACTCTTACTAAATTTCCTTGGTAAGCTTTCACCGGGCAAAAGACGGTTACCGCAATCCATTTTGAGTGTTGAGAATGTTACTTGATAAGGTAAGTGAGAGTGATGATTCGTGCCAATAAGCACTTACCCAGTAAGCATTTGGTAAACGGACTCTTAATGTTCCCATTGGAGATGGTCTATCAGATTAATGAAAGATTAATCAAGAGAAAATTGAGTCATACCAGTAACGACTAAACTATTGATCCCTGCTCCTAGAAGAACCGAATGAAGATTTGTAGCAAAGAATGCACTAAATCGCGTCTTTACAACCTTATAATCTTCTTCTTTGATGACAAGACCATCAACGAGTTCCGACCCCTTGCTCCCTTTTGAGGTCGGTTTTGGTTTCCCATCGGCATATAAATGCCTCCGAAATAGCTCGACGTCTCTTCCAAGTAGGTCATGCTCTCGTACAACCTACATTCGTACCTCAAATAGATATCAACATATAACACACAGAAAAAGTCAACTTAACAAATTGCTGCATTACTGCCCTTTCTTAGAGGATTGTAAACCATTTACACAATGTGTTCTTTTTAGGGTGTTTTTGGTACACTAGACAGGACATAACAGAAAAGAGATTATTGTTCTATGTTTGGCAGGGCTTTTATGTGGAACAAACAAGAACAGAGTGGTACAAGGTGAAACAAACCTATATTTTACCAATATACCTTCAAAATAAAACATAATTCTCTTCTAAAACATCAATTACACCTCCCTCTTTACATTTTATCCGTTCTTTAAGTTTTATTTACTGTATTTTATCATCTTTAAACTTTCACTTTAATGTTCTCAAATATTAGCTTTATAAGTTTTCTATATTTTGGTTAATTTATTAAATGTTAATAATAATAAAATATAGAAAAGATATAAAATAAATTTGGGAAATTATATAAAGTTGTTTTGGTGTCATTTTAATCGTCTTGATGAAAACTTTCTAATGATATATTTTGTTATAAAAAATATTTATTTTATTATAATTTGATAGATTACATAAATTAATCAAAATCTAGAAAAGATATCATGTCCTGTTTTGTCATGTTCTATCATGTCTAGATTTCAAACGCATCAAAAAGTTGTTTGATGATATCATATAACAATTAAAAATGACACAAATCAAGTAATATTTAAATAATAATATTTTATAAACATTTTTACACAATTTTCATATACATAAGCACATACATGTATAATAGTACCAAATTTGAATGAAGAATTTGATATAATTTATGGTTGTTTGAAGAAACTTTCTTCGGTACAAAGAAAAAACTGTGATTTATTTGGTTTGTAAAATCCTTATGGATTAGTGGAGGCACGGTGGGTGGAAGTTGTTGCAGCAAACCAAAGGGTCTTTGGGCTAGCGGTATCGTAGTCTTTGACTTCCTAAGAAGTCGGCGGTTCAAACCTCACCAAAGTGAAGAGGGTGTGTGAGTTTATTTGTTGTATTTGCCGTATATAATTATTATATACTTAAAAAAAAGTTGTTGGAGCAACAACTAATGGCTGCAGCAGCAGTCGAAGGAGGAGGTAGTGGTGGTGGTAGAGGTAGTGATGACCTAATTTGAGTTATTAGGAGGTGTTTGGGATTGCTTATTTGAAATAACTTATGTTTTTTCTACAAAAGTTTAATTTCTTCAAAAACTACTTATTACCGGTTTGGCACCGGTATAAGATGATTATCAAACACCACTCAGCCGATGTTGATTTTGTGAAAAAACCCTAATAGAAGGTGTTAGGGTTTTGATGAAGCGAAATAACCAATTTAACATTCCAAATCAAAATTGCAGCTGACAGCTGATTGTGCGATTAACCAACTGGCACCAGATTCAAATTCATCTTCTTAAAAAGCATTTCAATACAGAAAGAAAGCTAAAAATTACCCAAATAACAAGGAATCCTCGGCGTCTGGCGACCTCAACGGCTTTGATAACGTTGGGAACGATTGCTAGACCACCATCAACACGCATTGAACCATCAGGCAACACGAAATCGTTCTGTCAGAAAAGGAAATCATTAGATAAAGTATGAAGTAGTGCAGATGTGGTGATGGAGAAGAACGAAAAGGAACCTGCATATCGATGACGAGAAGAGCGGTACGAGTATCATCGGCCGCCATTACCAATCTTCTCCACAAATTTGGTATAATATTTAGTGGGTCGTAGGGATTTCTAAATAAAACGAATTATGTTTTTTTTAAGTGTTTATTTACTTATGTGATATCAAATTGGAGTTAAATAAAACAAGATTAAAATTGTAAATTAGTAATAAACAGTTTTTTATAAGTCATAAACGATTAACTTATAAAAAACAGTTTATTACCGGTTTGGCATTGATATAAGCAGTTTTTTTTTTCTTATCCAAATACCAGAAAACAGTTTATCTCCGGTACCAAATTGAAATAAGTTAAAAAGCAGCTTTTATAAGCAATCCTAAACGCCCCTTAAAGTAAATCATGATTTTCGTCCACTTGAAAGTTGTTATTGTTTTCTCGTAATTTATTGTTATTTTTGTTTTTATTATTTAAAATTTATTACAATTTTTTTGGTTATTTTAATCTCTTATACTTAAATATATGAATTAATTCATAAATGAACATAACAATAAATTATAAACCATAAGAATGAAAATTGTAATTTTTAAATCTCAGGAACAAAAATCAAAATTATTAGAAAATAAAATTGTAACTGTCTGTTTAATCACATCCATTGGATCAATTAATCTAACGGTTGATTGATGAAGTGTTGATTAATAGAAAATGATAACGTGTAAAAACAAAAATGCAATCGGAGGTGGAAGTAAACGAAATTTCATTTGTAAAAAAACAATTAATCAAGATATTTATAGAAATAATAAAAATTTATTTATTATGATTTGATATTTATTAAAATTATCAGAATTTATTTACTATGATTAGCGTTTTACATAATAAAACAGCCGAGATATTCATTATATTTTGCGGAATGAGTCCTTTGGATGCCGGTTTATCCATCGTTCCTAACGTTATTAAAGCCGTTGAGCTTTGCTAGACGCCGAGGTTTCCTTGTTATTTGGGTATTTTATAACTTTCCTTCTGTATTGCAATGTTTTCAACACTAAGGGGGTCGTTTACCAAACGCTTATCAGGGTAAGCGCTTATCAAATCACATTACCTTACCGGATGAATATGGTAAGGATCAAGAATCTTACCCGGTAAGAGGAAGACAAAGACCGAGAGTCTTACCTGGTAAGTGAGGGCGCCGACTCTTACTATGGTAAAGCACTTACTGGATAAATTGTTGCATATAATGTCGTTTTGGTGGACTAAAATCTTACCCGGTAAGTAAGTGGTAGTGTTAAATTTTACCAGTAAGCGCTTACCGGGTAAGTGTTTGGTAAACGACCCCTAAATCTTATACCAAATTTAACTCAAATAACTCCAATAGCGACATCAAATCTTATATCAGATTTGTTGTAACACTATTCAGTTACACCAAGTTGGAGAAGATAAGAAGAATATATCTAATACCTTATATTCTGGCGTTACCTATCGGAGATGCACTAAGAATATATGAATAACTGAATATGATTTTGGTCCCAATTAGTTAATTGTACAACATGTACACGAAACCCGCCTCCAACTATACCAATATGAGGAGTCATTTTTTAGCTCACTCAACGGTTGAAGTTAACGGGGGCCAGAATCGAACTCGGGACCTATTTTGTATTTGGACGAAGCCATCTCGTCCTTCTGCCAACTGAGCTACACGCCAAAGGCTCTCTAAACTTAATATTAGGGAGAGAGATTGTTTTCACCAATCAGGTTAAATGTGTAATTTTACATACAGATTTTTTTAATGTATTGGAAGGATGAATACAATGTATCCAACTCAGTATTATTTGCTATTCAACTCAATTTCATCCCATCACTCGTCAAATCAGTACGGTAACCGGTTAATGCTTCAACCGGTTACCCGGATATTTAAATGTTTAAAATTTTACATATTAAGTACCAAAATGAATGTTTTGAAAGTACATTACCCAAAGTAGGAATCAAATTAAAGTACGTTACTTTTTTTTTCCATGCAATTTGCCCATGTTGGAACTGCTAAAATAGAATAGTTGTTCGAGTTGAATGTATTTTTTTTAGAAATTTTGGTTTTCAGTATTCTATTTTAGAAAAGTTATAACATAGATGTTGGAGAATACTGTTATATTTGGTTTGCAATGAAATATGCACAACTTTTGATTTGGAAAGCAGTTAAAAATAAGCAAGTTTTCCACCTTTTACTTGGCTAATTATCTTTGGTTGAGTGGTCGGTTATGATAATAAAATCGGTTTTATAGTATGTCAAATATGTATATATGTCTTAATAGACTGCTTTACAACACTTAAGTTTACTGGACAAAACAACTGAGTGCCCTACATAAAGGTGTTACAGTAAAAAAACAATAATGCAACTATTCGTTAATCTGGGGTTTTTGTGTCGTGTGTCGATATCTATCTAAAGTTCGAATGTAGGTTGTACGAGAGCATGATTCGCTCAGAAGAGACGTTGAGATATTTCGGAGGCATTTATATGCCGACGGAAAACTAAAACCCGCCTCAAAAGGGAGCAAAGGGTCAGAACTCGTTGATGGTCATGTTATCAAAGAAGAAGATTATAAGGTGGTTAGGACGCGATTTGGCGCATTCTTTGATACCAATCTACATTCGGTTCTTCAAGGAGCACGGATCAATAGTTTAGTTGTTACTGGTATGACTCGATTTTCTTGATTAATCTTTCATTAGAGGAGAGTTCAGTTGCGAACCTTATTTCCGTTATGAACAGGGGGACAAGTAACAGTGCAACATGTGTCCCCATTCAACATAGATAATGGAGTTGAATTTTGTACAAAATTCATGATGAATGTCCCACACACGTGGTGCGCTTTCGTTGGTATGCAACGGAAATCAGTTTCTCAACCGAACTTGCTCCGTCTTCGTTAATCTGTTAGAAGGCAAGACTGTTTTTTGATGGTGTAGCACTTGATTACAAGTCTGTTACTGTATTGTTGATGCCACTGCTGCTGCTACACCTGATATACATGCTGGTAAGTATGCTTATCATCTTGGCTTTACTATACTCTACCAATTGTCTAATAAAATTCATCTAGTTTTCTCCTGTTATTAGTTCATCAGTTAATTTATCAGCCACCAGCTAACTTTTCAGCTAACAATTAGCTTATAAACCACCAGCTAACTTATCATCATACAACTAGCTTATAAGCCACCAGCTAACTTATCATTAAGCAACTAGCTTATTAGCCACCAACTAGCGTTTATCATCATACAACTAGTTTATTAGCCACCAACTAACTTTTCAGCTAACACCTAGCATATCATCAAACGTCTAGCTTATCAGCCACTTCAGCTAATAGCTAGCTCATCAACTAACAGCTGGCTTATCAGCTAGTTTGACAAGTAAATTCCTTAGGAATTCCAAGAGCTAACTATCGAGACTTTGGACTATCCGGACAGATACTTCGTCCAAATATAGCCTGAATAATGACACCTAAACCGCTACTTACTGGTTTCTACATCGAATATTTACAACATGAAGAATCTTGGAGTAGCAGCTCCAACACTTTGAAGAATGGTGTGAATCCAATAGCGCTGAGTTTTGATGGTCAAAATTAGTAGTAAGCTTTGTGTGGAGTGTGTATCATGAACTTGGATTTGTAACTTGTATCACCTATTTAATTTATAGGTACACATAAGATGTATAATTTCGGCAACTTGATGTATGTGTGTATTCGCTTTCATAGTATTTTATGTAACTGTTTAGTTGGTTTTCCATTAAATGCAGTATGAATAAAGTTGTCAGTATGGATTATTCTGTCTAACCTGTAGGTACTAGATCGAGAGGTTTCTTCGTAGATGTAAGGAGCGTGTTATTTTAATTAGGAGGGACAAGTTTGGGAAAAACTTTGTTTTCTGCATAAAACTCTCCCCTAGAAACTTATTGAATAAGTCACTTTTTATATCATAAAGTCACTACCAAACACTCGTGTACACCTAACCTAATAAGCTGCAAGTCTTATTAAACTCGTTAAATTGCTAACAAACAAATCATTCCTCTTTAAAGCATGATCATATAGAGGCAGGTTCCGTTAAGAACATCATTTCAATGAGAAATGGGGAACCACTAAGAGCGTGCCTCTGTCCATATTCATCATGAATATAGACATCATTCACAATAATGTCACAACATTCATGATGAATGTCCCATCCATATTCATCATGAATATGGACATATAGCACACTTTCAGTAATTTCCCAATTCTGAATGAAAATGAGGTTTCTAACGGAACCAGACCCTAATCATATAAATGTAAACTTCATTATGATGTTTATATGAAATGAACACGAATAAAAATATTCCAGAAAGCTTTCGGAACACGGACATATTTTAAAAATTGGAGAAATATTTATACTACAATTTATAATCAATTGTGAAAGAATGATAATAAAACTAAATGAAGCAGTTTTCAAAGAAATTTTCATTCCTCATTAATATAAGGGGCGCATTAAGGCCCATTTTGTGCCACAATTTCATCTCATTCTAGTAATTATTTTTGGGTTTAGATGGAACCACCATACCGTTGCATCGCAACAACTGGATCGTTGCATCTCGAGCACCGGAATGATGGAGTTGCGGCACATCTCGTTCTAAGACAGTAATAACAATACCTGCCGATGACAAAACCAACATTCGTGTTATGTAAATTGTTGTGACGGATAATTATTCGCAAACATAGTATTATTCTTTACGTCCCAAAATAAATGAACACAATGAAAATGACACTATTATTGCACTTTTTAATGAACTAAAGAGTAAATTACGTCTTCGTCCCAGTAGTTTGTTAAAAATTGCGATGTTCATCCCTGTGGTTTAGAAACTGCAGTTTGCATCCCTATGGCTTGTAATTCATTGCTATTTTCGTCCTTATGATTTACAATCTATTGTTGTTTCGGTCCTTTGGGTTTACAACTCTTTATTGTTTTGCTCCCTTGTACTTAAAGGTAGGTATTAATCCAGGGACGAAAATAGCAATAAATTGTAAACCATAAGGATGAAAATCGCAATCTCTAAACCATAGGGATGAAAATAGCAATTTCTAAACCATAGGGACGAAAATTGTAATTTACTATTAACTAAGTAACACTTTTACAAGTAAAGGGTGAGTCCCATGCGTGAGTTTATGGATCGCGGTCTTTAATAATAGAGAGAACATTTATACGTTTAGTAACTCCAGGATGGGCGAGCGTGAGTAAGGTAGGCCAGTGAAAGAATTGTGCAAGGTTTTAGTTTGCTATGGGTGATTTAGTAATTTACCAATCTTGTTTTATCTCCCTAACTTTTGTTCCACCTATTTTAGTAGGACAGTCCCACTCAATCTTGTCCAATCTAATCCTAGTCCTTGTATCACACCAAACGTAGGACGAGTTTTTGTTCTGTCATGTCTCGTCCTATCTTGTATACCAAACGCACCAATGTACCTCGCACATCCCTACTTTTCAACTTCTTCCAAACTTATTCTGACAAACTTTTTGATGCACTCGGTTTTTCACCAAAATCTTTTTGCAAACACTTTTTCACAAGCCGGTGGTCTTCACGGAAACAACCGCTTTATTATTTGGGGTAGAGAACATGTTTGTGTGCATCCCCTGGGCCCCTACTTCGGAGTGAGACATACCGAGTGTGTTTGTTTTATTTCAATGAAGGCATGCATGGGATTGCCAATAACATCACCCGAATTCTGTAAGTGTTAAAAATGGATCTTGAAGTCCGATATTAGTACGTACCTATGCTGACAAGGAAGAGCGAGATACACGGTCGTTGGATTCGCCTGACAAATGGGGCAAAGTGTTTCATCTCCAGCCGAACCTGAAGAGTTATCCTTCGAGAATGGACGAAGAAAATTCTTCATGGAAGAGGAATTGAGAAGGGGAAGAAGCAACAACAACATTTCCTGCAACGTAAAAGAGCCGAGCATGAAAAAAATTGAGGGAAAAGAGAGACATTCGGCCAAGGGTACGTAAAATGTACTTAAAGCGGTTAACATGATCGGATTAGGTTCATGTGAGAACCACAAAATATTTGAAAATCGTGAGAACTTGTATAATCATTGATGCATATACAGGGGGTTATTCAAAGAAGAATTCAGTACTTTATGAGATCCGTGAGATCCAATTCCAATTACAAATCAAAGTTTAAATTAGAAAATTCATAATTTTAGTAATTTTGACTTAGAATTTTAAATAATGGCATTTTAGGTACTTTAGAAATCTTATCTCTCATCTCTCCGCTGCCATGAACATTCCACTATGATACACGTTGTGATACAATAATTAGGATCATTCTCTCGATATACCACTTATACCTACTGATTTCCACTGTGATCCCCACTGTATACATGTTGTGATACCCTAAGATACACAACGTGATACGTTGTAAACAACGAAAACATAAAATGTGATACAAAGGAAACAACTAAAATACAGTTTGTGTTACTGGCATCAAAGATTCAAAGATAGCACATTGTGGGAGTTAGGATCTTCCTATTTATGGGAGTTATAGGTTTCCTATTTATGGAGAGAATAAATTAATTAAGCGCATTTATGAGTTGTATTCTTTATTACTAAATTACACTTCTCCATTTATTTAATAAATAACATAATTATCTTAAATGATTAAATGAGTGGCTCACATTGGATAACTGTTATCACAAATTACTATGTTCTCATTTGATTAGACCCCTATTTATATATATACTATCAAAATATGTATTATGTCAATGAGTATATTCATCAATATATATCTACCATGCAAGTATATATGCATTGATGCATATACTAACTGAAATTCCTTAGTGTATATGCATCAATGAATCTACAGGTTCTCACGGTTTTCAAAAATTTTATGGTTCTCACATGAACCGCCCTCTGACATGATAATCAAATAAGAACGAAAATTACCGAGAATTCATTCCAAACTAATTGGCGATTCATGTACTCGAAACTAACAGCACGGTTCATATGAGGGCTCCCGTAAACAAGTCTTGCTTGTATGGCTCTCTCGATAAGATTCCTGTACCTGTAATTTATAGGGGGGAAATGGTAAACCGTCCAGTTTTAATCAAGTCAATAATAGAATCAATGGTTGAACTTATATCAGTTTTAAATTCCAGATAAGAGTATTGATAGGATCTGAGTACAAAGCTTGGAGTAAAATAACAGACCTTCCCGTGTAAAGAAAAACAAGCAGGTTGGTGAAAGATGCGGCTTTATAAAATCCTTCAATACGTTGTACTATAAACCATGCTCGACGAGCTAGTGATCTCTGCCGAGCAAACAAACAACCGGGAGTGTGTAAGAGAGGCAGAAAAAGAAAAAGAAAAACGGATTTTAATTCTTCAATGCGGGGCAGGTTCCATTGAGAACCTAAAATTGATTAGGAGTCCGGGAATCGCCTACAACGCTACATGTCGCATATTCATCAGGAATATGGTATGGACGTGTTATTCATCATGAATGTTGTAAATGTTCATCAGAATAACACTTCTATATTCATCATGAATGTCGTCCATGTTCATGATGAATGTGGTATTCATGATGAATATATATCCTAAAGAGGGACACGTGGCGCGCTATTGGCGGTTCCCAAGTTCCTAACCAATTTTGGGTTCTTAATGAACTTTCCTCCTTCAATGCCGTCATCAAACACGTCCTCTTTTTACTAAAATAGGGTGAGAAGCGGGATAGATAGGTTGAATATTAGATACCTGCTCGGAATCACCCCATTGACGAAAAGCAGAAAAAGACTGAAGACGGGTCCAGATATACTGACCACCAACTGTGGCAACACAATACCATAATTTCTGAGGAACGGTGAGTCCGGGTCCCTCCAACCCCGTCCTAACTGAAAGTGGAGTTTAAATGAAAATCGTAAGGTATGCTTCATAGGCACACAGATAAGAATTCAAGTGCAAAAGATTCAGTCAAGGATTACTATTTAAGAGGACGTATGGAAGTCCTTTTGGTGTTGGGATAACTAGCTTTTTAACTAACAGCTAGCTTATCGGTTAGTTTGTCAAGCATATCCACAAAAAAGCCTAAGCTCAAAGCCAGGCCCAGGCCCAACCCGAAAAAGGACCCGGGTCTTGTGAGCACGAAACCCAGTCTGGGCCAGGCCTCAAAGCCCGATCACGCCCTTTTCAACCCCCAAATCCCTGTGTGAACGAAAATAAGTCATGCATTGCCAGTCAATTAGTCAACTATCATTAGATTGCATAATTAAAACCTCTTACTTTTTCCTCTCATCTCCATGGCACGTTCATCTCTATATCGCAGATTCATGAGAGCATTTCCTGGAGTAGGTTTATCAACCCAAATCGAGAACCTCCATATAAGAAACTCAAGGAAAGCATCAAGTTCTGCTTCGTATTGAAATAATAATCCTGGCTAATCCCAAAAAGACAAGAAGGGTAACAAATTAACCTCTAAACGAACATAAAAGGTAGCAGAAAAAGTAATGCACTTAAGTAAACAGAATATATAATTGTGTGTTAGAATTGGGTTCAATGAACACCATAAAGAAATGGAAAACTAAGGAACATCCTAATAACCATTCATTTGTCTGGTATGCATATATGCATAAAGAAACATTTTCAATTTCTTTTATGTAGGTGGCATACCGGATAAATGAATGGTTATTACGGTGTTCTTCAGTTTTCCATTTTTTTGTGGTTTTCCCCTTGAACATGAGTCTTGTGTTATATACCTTCATCACAGAGAAAACTTTAACCATTTGCTCTTTTAGCATGGCTGACATTTCGATATCAAGCCTCCCTGCATCCACCTGGTTAACTCTGGATATTGCAATCGGAATTATGGCCTGCAAACAAATTCACCAACCGTGCCACGATGTTACAGGGGAAAACGCAAAGGGGTGAGCAAGAAACCATACACACAGCTTGATTCATAGAGACAGCTTAATCCATACAGGTCTTGCTATTTGGTTGGTTTTCCATCAAGTCCTGTATGGATGAAGTTGTCTGTTAGATTGAGAAGGTTTTTGTTTGGGAGAATTTTTTAACAGATGGAAGGAGAGTGTTTTTAATTGGGAGGGACAGGTTTTGAAAAAACTTGGTTTTCTGTAGAAGCTTACTGAATAAGCCACTTTCTATATCATCAAGCCATTACCATTCAGTTATGTATGTGGTTGGTTTTCCATCAAGTCTTGTATGGATAAAACTGTTTGTGTGGATTAATCTGTCTGTATAGATTGGAAGAGATTTTTCATAGATGGAATGGCCGTGTTTTAATTGGGATGATTAGGCTTGGAAAAAACTTAGCTTTCTGCATAAGACTCCTCCTGGAAGCTTACTGAATAAGCCATTATCTAAATCATTAAGCCACTAACAAACAATCATTTATAATAGACTCAAAGTTACGACTCCCGTTAAGCTTATTAAGCTGCTAACAAACAGACCCTGAATAAGCTGTGATCCCATTAAGCTTACTGAAAAAACAACAGCACTTCACTCTCTATTTAGATTAATCCAACAGAACTCATTCCAACCATTCCACTTAACTAAATTAGGAAGTTTTGCTTAAATCAGTAATCATACTAACAAGATGACATGTGGAAACACTAAAATCGACCTGGATTTCCGTCTGTATTCGTGGACGACTCTAAAACAACACCTAAAATTGATTCAAATCAAAAACCTACACAATAAACAATACTATCAAGTTCATCATGATTCATGAAGCAATATGCGAATCTGACGAGTGTATTCAGAACTCCAATTTCCGTTACTCAAAATCAAAATTGGAGTAAATCGACTCTGAATTTCAAACTGGATGCTCGTAATCCCGATTCCAACCATCAAACTCCATGCCCATAAACACATAATCACCACCAATCCCCTTTGTACATAAAATTAACATAAAGCAAAAACAATTATACCTGGGGAGAAAGAGCGGATGATTGCCAACGAGGTGATAATCGTTCGTGAGCATCAATCCAAGCTGATTCGATCGGTGTAGTGCTATCCGACGTCGTCGATGATGACGTTGATGCTAGGGTTTCTCTCATTTTTCTGGTTTTTACATAAAAACAAAAAACGGCACGCCGACGCCGGCGAGATTTGGGAAGAGGGTGTTGGGATGCCGGACGCTATGTAAATCAAAATGCATCCAGTTTCACAGTAGACACTCGAAAGCAGCAGTAGAGAAGTTTTTTTGGTAACTTCTGGAAACCCCCAAAATAGAAAGAGAAGATACGATCGATGCCTTCCATTGGATTCCGAATGAAAAAGAGAAGGAAAAGGGGAAAAACGTCGACAGCAGGATTCGAACCTGCGCAGGCAAAGCCCAACAGATTTCGAGTCTGTCTCCTTAACCACTCGGACATATCGACAATTTGTGTATAAAAACTCAATAAAATAAAATTTATAATATTTTATATTTATATATTTCATAAACACAAAGGTATTTTAATAAAGCAAATTGCATGAAAAAATAATATACTTTAACTTGATTCTTATTTTGATTAATGTATTTTCAAAACTTTTATTTTTGTTATCTAAGATGTAAAGATTTAGACATTTAAGTACCCGAGTAACCGGTTGAATCATTAGCATGATAATTGGTTATTGCTTCAACCGGTTATCCGGGTACTTAAAACTTTAAAACACATAAGTAAGTCACAAGTCAATGTTATGTGAGTATCGCTAGTAGATAACTAACCATAGACATCAACCTTTTTCGGGTCTTTAGTCAAATAGATGACAAGCTCAACCCTATCTAAATCTTTCAATTACGGAGTTACCAAGTTCAACTTTTACGGGTCTTAACCTTGAGATCTCCCAGAACCAAATTAATCTGAAATTACACATTAATCACAGTGTCTATTTTTCATGCTGCAATTAGGGAATCTCACCCCTTATATATACCATAAAACCGAGTCACATGATTAGTACACTCAATGTGTAATATATCATATAATTATATGTCATAACTGCATATAACTCAAAAGCTCAACACATAACAAAATATCGAACAAATGTCTCAGGACAAAACCGAGTCAAAAGTTCAACAACTCAATTAGTTGTTACATGATAGTCACCAATAAAAACGTATTTAACCAGCGTATATGAAAACACATGCTCTAAGGCATTATTAACTCGAAAACTCATATTTGGTCGGAATAAACCATTTTCCAACTGAAATCATACCATTTATACTTTCAATTGTCCCGTGACATAACAATGTGCATTTTTCAAACCAGATACATTAAAAATATATTTGTCGCTAAATAATCTTTAATTATAAAATAAATTATCAGAAGACCTTACACTTATGATTTATTTGTTAAAATGTCCAAAAATTCCAAATACGGGTATTTCATGAGATTTATAAAACCAAATATGCAGAACTCACCAAATAATATACACATTTGATAAAATATCAAGAAAAACATATTAATATTTTGAAATAGACATTTTTGTTATGTACATAGTTTTCAGAAGACAGCTTGAACTCAGCTTGCTAGATTTAGGCTAAATTTATGTTTTACTCAAAAACTAAAGTTTAAAAAAAAAAAAAAAAAAAAAAAAAAAACTTGGGTCTACAAGTAGATCTTCTAAATCTTAACTCCAAATCTTTCCAAAATATCCTTTCCATCACGAGAGACCCAAAACCAAAGGAGAAGATGGAAGAAAAGAGCGGAGACGAAGAACGCACAAAACCCTAACTTACAAGGGAAGGAGATATTGAGGTTACCTTAAGGGTTATTTGTTTACCTCTTAATAGTTTCATTAAAAGGCAACATTTGAATCATTAAGAGGTGAATCTTGTTTGGCAAAAAAAAAAAAATCTCTTAATGGTTCTAAAACCCTCTGAATGATTTTGTATTTTAAGCATCCCTTAACCATTAAGCGCACTGATTTCGTTGTAAACAATTATATTTCATTTTGCACTATATCATGAAAGCCTCTTAATCATTTTGACCACTTAATCATTATGCACCAAACTATTCAGCAACTGCCAAACAACCCCTATCTCAAATAGTCTAGAATCCTATAATAATGTCTACTCATCTTGATATACTCTTGACGAGCTTCAAAAATCGAGTCTATAACACGAAGAATTACCCGAAACGGGTTAGGGATGAGAGAGTTATGAAAAAATGAAGAAAAACCTCAAAACCCCGATTTTAAATATGATTTGACCACTTACGCAGCTCTGCCCGCAGCTTAAAGCCACCGAGCATGTCGTGTGCCTCTCAAATTCATCAAACAATAACTCTGTCTGGGCCATGACTTAAAGTCACAGGGTTCCGTTTTTCATGTTTTTCGTCCGATTTTCACACCTGATTTGATACTTGAAAGTCCACGTATAACCCATACATGAAACCTTATTAAACTTCCATCTTAGTGGCTAAATGGCCGCTAATCCGCTATATAGATTAGTGAATGTCTCTAAAATTGGGGTTGTTACATATACGAATTGACTTGATTCTACCATAAAAAAAAGGTACATATATGATTACCCTTTAAGGGTTAGGTTCCGGTGAAATTGGAAGATTTAATGAGAAGGGTAAGAAGATATCTTCATATTTGCATTAATCCTAATTGAAGATTAATACTAATGAGATTCACTGAGATGCACTAGATCACTTATCGTGATAAACATAATTCATAGGATGAGGGTGAGATTAAAAATGATCAAGGATCCAGATCTATTCTTACGCTTCTCATCTTAACTCCTAGTTTCATATGATCAGTCGTCTACCCTTTAATAAGGGTGCTTATGGATTGGGTTGAAGACTTTTGAACAACTCAACCCAATGTTTGCAGTTTGAAAATTTTCAACCCAACCCAATATAAAACAAAGTGCAACCCAACCCAACCCAAACCATATGGGTTGAACGAGTTAGTCGGATTGATACTTTAGTACATCAAATATTCCCCTAACTTTAAATATGATATTTTCTCTATTCATAATTATGTTTTCGTCATCAATTATTTGGTATAGTTTATCCATACTCCTTAAATCTTAACTATATCACGTTTGACCACTCTCAATACGTATATGAAAAGGGTATGCGATAATGTAATTGTCTAACATAATATTATTAACAAAGACTTTACAATTATATTTAATTCAAGAAAATAAAAGGATACCGAGTTCATCGGGTTAGGTTGAGTTCAAATGACTATAACTCAATTCCAATCCACTACCTATGGTTTGAAAATTTTATAATTCGATTAGACATTAAATTACTTCAGGTTAGTTATTTCACATTAGATTGAGTTAGATTGACCGGATTTGTCAGGTTTTTAAACACCCTACCCTTTTTAATACATTCGATTTACAACAAATTGCATGAAAAAGTAACGCATTTTAACTTGATTTTTATTTTGGACAATACACTTTCAAAACTTTCATTTTGGTACCTAATATATAAAGTTCTAAACATTCAAATACCCATATAACTGGTTGAAGAATAATTTTAAATTAAAAAATCCATGCACTAACCACATCAACAAATAATACTGAGTTAGATATTACATCAACATGATAACTGGTTAATGTTTCAACCGATTACCAATGTACATACATATTTAAAACTTTACATCTTAAACACTAAAATAACAACTTTAAAAATACGTTACCTAAAATAAAAATCAAATTGAAATACATTACTCAAAAATACAATTTAAAGATAAAATCTCATTTAAAATAACATTCGAAGTGGTTGGTATCCATAATTTCCTATTTCACCCCCCAAAGTTGACTATGAGAAGACCCAACTTTTTATCAAATAATGTTGCATTCAATTTTTGACAGTCCATTATTTGTCTGCAAAATGTTGCCCGCCGCCCGCAGTCGGTCGGTCACATGCCCGACTTGCCCGTATATAAACCCGCTATCAAGGACAGTGTCAGACCACAGTGGTCCACGACCCGATCCGGTCAATCACTCGAATCATCACTAAACGTTAAAACGCCGTTATGTCCTCATACACGTGGCGCAATCCTAGCCGACGGTTTGTTTTATTTACCAACACGATTTTAGATACCGGCGTGCCTAAAAGATTTTTAGTTGATAAAAATATATTGAAACTGCCGTTACTAACGGTAACGGGAAAGGTGCATATATATATATTGAAATTGTCATTTTTAACCTAAATTCATGTTTTAATCAATTTTTTATGCAGAAGGCTTACGCATATGTATAAGAATGGGATAAATTAACTCAAATGACTATTTTTCACATTCAAATTGATTTTCTAACCATACCTTTCTCGGTTTGACTCAAATGTCAGTACATTCACAATATACAGGACCGCAATTAGGGGTGCTAAAAAATTCGACAAACCCAACCCAACGTGAAATAACTTAACCCGAAGCAACCCGATGTCTAATCAAGTTATTAAATTGTCAAACGATAGGTATCGGGTTAATATTGGGTTACTATTATTTGAACTCAACCCAACCCGATGAACCCGATATCCTTTTATTTATTGGATTTAATATGATTGTTGAATTTTTATTAATATATACATTAGACAATTACAATATCATTTACGCACTTCATATACACATATTTTCAATTTGTTCACATCTCTATATAACTCATTCATATATATGTTCAGTAACTGTGAACATATATATGTAAATTGAGAAAATTAACTGAATGTGTGATATACGTAAGAAGTATGGATAAGTTGTATCAAATGGTTGATGATGAAAAAGAAATTATGAGTAGAGAGATAACATATTTAAGGTTAGAAGAATATTTTGATGTACTAAGATATCAACCTGACCAAATCGATTAACCCAACCAACCCGTACGGGTTGGGCTGGGTTAAGATTTTTCAAACCGCAAGCATTGGGTTGAGTTGTTCAAATGTCTTCAACTCGATCAACCCAACCCGTGAGCACCCCTAACCGCAATAGCTAAAAGAGAAAAAGTGTCGAATTCAACCAGTTTACGGTCGCAATCGCGTACTTGGACGTCGCAATTGCAGATTTGTGTTTAATTTGAATATTTTATGGCCTTGAGCTACGCCCACAATAGACCTAGATATTGTGAATGTAGTGACATTCGGGTCAATCCGTGAGAGAATGAGTGAAATGGTCATTTAACTCAAGGACTCTAAGGGGTCGTTTACTAAACGCTTACTCGGGTAAGTGAACCCCAAGTCATATTATCTTACCGGATAATATGATAATATGGTATGGACCAAGAATCTTACCCGGTAAGAACGAGCTAATGACCAAGAGTCTTACCCGGTAAGTGAGAGCGACGACTTTTATCACGGTAATCGCTTACCGGATAAATTGTTGCATATGATACCGTTTTGGTGGACTAAAATCTTGTTCAATAAGTAAATGATAGTATTTGATGGACTAAAATCTTACCCGATAAATAACTGATAGTGTTTTGATGGACTAAAATCTTACCCGATAAGTAAATGACAATGTTAAATTTTACTAATAAACATTTAACGGATAAGTGTTTGATAAAAAACCTCGTTTTTCAGTTTTTTTTAAAAACGATAGCGTTATTGTTTAAACATGTAGGGAAATGGAAAAGAAACAATAAGCCCCCACGGGGACAGTATTCTGATTCAACTGTTATGCTTTGGAATTGTTTTTATTTTTTTAATTTAAATATATTATTTATGGTTTTTAATAAATTATTTTTAAAAATGCATTTTTATAATATTTAATTTAATATATAATTAATAATATATTTTACTGAATATTTTTATCATTTGGTGACAAAAACTAGAAGTATATAAACCAAAAAGTTGCAAATTTATCTTTGCAACCAAATAAACTCGTTAAACTGATCAGATATTTTGTTAGAGGTATTAAGCAGTAATCAATGTGAATGAAAATAAAAACAACTGTTTAGTTTTTCATAATAAAATGAGTTCATTCCTCCAAAAACCTAAAATTTCATTATTGGTTAAACTGAGGGGAATTAAAATTAATTTCCATTTTCATTTTTATTTTCATTTTCATTTTCGTTTCTCAGCCTGAACCAAACAGACCATGAATCAATTTGGACACTCTTTTAATATCAGATGACAGACTTTTAAACATCTTTGGTCAACCGTAGTAAATATTTTTCGATTAACTTATACTTAAGGATTGTTTGGTTTAAGCTGATAAATGGAAATGAGAATGAATTTTCATTCATCCGTTTAACCAGAACTGAAAATTGGGCTTCCGGGGGACTGAGTCTATTGTATTATGTAAAACTAAACAGTTTCTTTTATTTTCATTTACATTCAATACTGTTTAATACCTCTAACCAAACATCTCCTTATATGTACGATATAAAAACACGTCTGATAGATGAGGTATAAAGTCTTTTATAAGACAACATTTATTTGATCGGACTGAAAGACGAAGAATCATGTTGAGAATGATAGTTACGATGAGAAGTGTAAAAAGTGATTTGTACTATTGATCATTTTTAATCTCAAACCAACTCATAAATTGAGCTTTATAAAAGAATTGATCTGGTGCTTTTCATTAGTGTTAATCTAGTGCAACTCCTCAAAGAATTGATCAAAAGATGAAAATCAATTTTTACCCTTCTCATTACTGCTCTCGTTTTGTGAGTGCTTAAAACCTCGAAAAACTCACCCAACCCAACCTAACGCAAAATAACCCAATATAAAGCAATCGATGTCCATCGAGTTATAAAATCTTCAAACCCTGGGTGTTAAGTCTATTATTATGTACATTAGACAAATACACCATCATGTATTGTTTATATATATATATATATATTCAATCTATTCTCCATATCTATATAACTCATTTGTGTATATATATATGTATAGTTGAATGTAGAGATGGCCAAAAACCGGTCCCGGGCCGGTCCCAATCGGTCCTCACCATCCTCATAACCGGCCATAACCGGTCCCGGCGTAACTGGTCCCGGTCTCGGTCCCGGTCCCGGTCGAAAATGATAGGACCGGTATAGGTATTTTATAACCGGTTATGGGCCGCCGGTCCCGGTCCCGATCTCAACCGGTCCTTCATTAAAAAAATAAGATTTTTTATTTTATTTTTTTAATGATATATATTTTTAATACATTATAAAATTTACAATTGGGTCACTCAAATACACTTTAAAAATGCGTTTTAATATAATTAAAATTACATTTTTTTATAAAAATACATTATAAAATTATTTAAAAATACATTTATTTGTAAAGTTAATTGAATTTTCGGGCCGGGCCGGGCCGGGCCATAGTTGGTCCCATAACCGGTCCCGGTCCCACGAAACTACCAAAAACCTCAACCGGTCCTTGTTTTCGGTCCCATAACCGGTCCTTACCGGTCCCAGTCCCGGGCCGGTCCTTTGTCAGTCCCGGTCCCGGTCCTCCGGCGGTCCCGGGCCGGACCGGGCCCATTTGGCCATCTCTAGTTGAATGCGATATACTTAAGAAGTAAGAATAAGTTGTACCAAATGATTGATGATGAAAATGAATTACGAGAGAACATTTTGATATACAAAAGTATCAGCTCAACCAACATGTATGATTTGGGTCGGGTTGAACATTGTAAACCGTAAACATTGAGTTGAGTTGTTTAAATGTCTACAACCCGATCAATCCAATCAATGAACACCCGTACTTTCATTCTCACCGGAACCTAATCCAATTAAAATAACATTATTTATATATTATGAATTAAAAAAGAAAATAAGGTGGGCGAGTGGCAGTGAGCTGTCGGTGGTTATTGCAAAGGACCATTAAAAGTGACAAAATAACACTCACAAAAATAATATATTTTGTGTCAGAAATAATTTAAATAAATAATTTAAAAAAGAAAATAAGGGCCCATTTTCGAGTTATGAAGATTGCTATTATTGTCGATTTCTCATCATCACAAATTCTATTTAATTTTTTATATTTATTTATTTATAAGATTTATTTTTTCAAATGGTAAATTATATGAAAAAAATATCGTATTTTAATTTCATTTTTATTTTTTGTAACTTATTTTTAAAACTTTTATTTTGTTACATAAGATGTAAAAATTTAAACATTTAAATATCCGAGTAATCGGTTATCATGTTGATATGGCTAGATGTGATGAAATTGAGTTGAATAACAAATAATACTGAGTTGAATATACATCAACCGGTTACCCAAATATTTAAATGTTTAAAACTTTACATCTTATTATTTTAGATACCAAAATAAAAGTTTTAAAAGTACGTTATCCAAAATAAAAATCAAGTTAAAAGTACCTTACTTTTTTCATACAATTTACCCTTTTAAAAAATAATAATTTAAAACAAAAACTTTTAGATCACCGTCAAATTTGTTAATTTTACATAATTATTACTGATTTGAGTAAAAAAGCTTATTAATGAATGAAATACTGTATTTTTAAAGACAGATTGAGCCAGAAAATGTGGAAGTAATAAGAATGTGTAGATATTATATTTTTTAATTAATTAAATGATAATTCTACATCTGATAATAGATAGAAAATTTGTTTTCATTTCATAATTAAGGGTAGAATTGAAAAATAAGACATAACAAATTAAAAACAAATACTTAATTTAAGATAAACTAAAATAAAAATGTAAATATTTATTTTATAACAGATGAAATATTATATAAATTGTATTTTTTTTCTTAATAATAACAAATATATTAAAAATTAATTAGACTTAAAAAAAGGATTAAATTTGTTTTTATGAAATCAAATTGGCAGACCAAATAGTATTACAAACCAAATACTAAGTTGAATACTACATCACTCGTTACATCAACATAATAACCGATTAATATTTCAATCAGTTACATAAATACTTAAATATTTAAAACTCTGAATCTTAAATCGTTGGTTTTTTTTTTTAACGGAAGATTAAAATAAAAGATAAAAAGGGCAACGTAAAGACGAAAAAGGGGGTTCCATTTGTTCGTAACAGAGACCCTCATTCTCCATCTCCCCCCACTTTCCCTTCTGTATCTTCAATCGACTTTCCACCCATTTTCACGAATTTCAAATCTTTTTCAATTTCTCTTCCCATTTTTCACAGATTTTAACTTCCCCTGATGTCTGTGCCACTCGAACATGATTATATAGGCTTATCAGAAGCTTCCTCAATGGGAAAAGCCTCTGAATCTTCCAATTTTTCATCTGAAAGTGATAAGAACAATGTTCTTAACCTCAAAGCCACTGAATTGAGACTTGGGTTGCCTGGATTAGGTCAGTATTTGGAAGAAAACCCCTCGAAGAACAGCCCCACGAAGAATGTTGTTTCTAGAGCTAAAAGAGGGTTTTCTGATGTTAATTTTGATGGTTCTGCTAAATGGGATTTCAATGGCGGACCTGAAGGTGATTTGGGGAAAGGTTCTTCTTCTTCTTCTTCTTCTAATACTACTTCTGTTCTGTTTAAGATAAATGCTGGTTTAGAGAGCAAGCAAACACAGCAATCAATTCCTATTCCTGTTGAAGAGAAGAAGAAAGCTTCTGTTACTAGTGAAAATGGCAGAGCTCCTCCTGCTTCCAAGTGAGTTTTCAGCAAAACCCCTTTAGAATTTACAATAAAATTGTTGAATTTAAGTCTTGTAAGTTACTTATTTTGTGGGTTCTGGTTATCTGTTGATATCCTTGTATTTTATATTGATAGAAAGTGGCAGAAGTAGCCTTCTTAGGTTGATTATTCAGAATCCAATTTAGGGCCTGTTTGTTAGCAGCTTAACGAAGCTTAATGAGAGTCGCATCTTATTCGGGGGCTGTTTGGTTGGTTTCCCATTGTTACCTGTATGGATAAAGCTGTGTGTGTGGATTAATCTGTTCGTATAAATTGACAAAGGTTTTTGTTTGGGAGGGTTTTCATAGAGGGAAGAAGTGTGTTTTTTAATTGGGAGGGACTGGTTTAGGAAATCTTGAATTTCTGCATAAAGCTCCCCGCTTACTGAATAAACCATTTTTTATATGATTAAGCCACTATCAAACAATCATGTGTAGCACTGTAGCTAATGTAATAAGTTGGGAGTCCTGTTAAGCTCTTTAAGCTGCTAACAAACAAGTCCTCGGTCAGCTATATGTAAATGTTTGGTAGTGGTTTAATAAATATAGAAAATGGCTTATTCAGTTAGCTTTTAGGATGGGGGATTATGCATAAAGCCATGTTTTTTCCAACCTACCTCTCCTTATTAAAAAACACGCTCCCTCCTATGAAAAACACCCCCAAACAAAAAACCTAAACAACCTATAAAGACACGTTAATCAACACAACAACTTTATCCAAACAGGACTTAATGGAAAACCAACCAAACATCCCCTTAGGGTTGTTTTGTATCTTTATCTTTTTTCAATTGGGGTTGTTTCTCTTGACATTTAGGTGCATTCAGTATGAATCTTGACTACTTTCTTGCATTTAGAAGAATTTGTTGCTTGTGATTTGGATTTTTGTTAGGTTGTATAGATTGTGTGAATTGGTCTGAAATGGCACTTTCTATGGGTTGATTAACAGAGCTCAGGTGGTAGGATGGCCACCGATTCGATCTTTTCGGAAGAACACCATGGCTTCCAATTTGTCAAAGAATGAGGATGTAGCCAAAGGCAATTCAGGATGTGGGGTGTGTCTTTATGTGAAGGTTAGTATGGATGGTGCTCCATATCTAAGAAAGGTTGATCTCAAGACTTGCAACAACTATACGCAACTCTCAAAGGCTGTCCAGAAATTGTTCACCTGCTTTACCCTCGGTATACTTGCTTTCTGTAGTGTCATTTTCCGTAATTTGTGAATAAATTGAACCAAACCGTATATCTCACTAGTATGGGAGGGGTAAGATGTACATTTGAGATCCATGTAGACCTGACCTCTGTCTCAAATAGTAGAGCTAGTGTTCGTGTGAAGACACTGCCTTGTGAAAAGTGTACGAAAGAGAGAGAAGCATAAAATACGAGTAAGCAATATAAGATATATGTGGACGGTGGACCTGCCCTCTATCTCAAAGAGTAGAGCTAGTGTTTTTTGTGAAGACACCGCCTTGTGAAAAGTGTGCGAGAGAGAGAAAAGCCTAAAAGATAAATACGAGTAAGCAATATAAGATGTACGTCGACCTGGCCTCTATCTCAAAGAGTAGAGCTAGTGTTTCTAATTCTACGAAGATACCCGCCTTGTGAAAAGTGTACGAAAGAGAGAAAAAAAAAATAAAAGATAAACATGGGTAAGCAATAAGATACAAATATAAGCAGGTGCAAGAAAAACATAACCAAGGTGAATAGACTACACACCACTTAGTCGAACTTGCGGATTTGGATGGATGGGGATTGAAATTGTTATTTTTTTGAACACTTGCTTAAGTTTCTTGACGGGGTTTGAGTTAATGTTGATTGCATGACTTGTGTTGTGAATTAGGTCAATGTACTTCTAATGGGCTACGAGGGCAGGAAGGGCTTAGTGAAAGTAACTTGAAGGATCTTTTACATCGCGATGAATGTGTACTGACGTATGAAGACAAGGATGGTGATTGGATGCTCGTTGGTGATGTTCCATGGGGGTAAGTTCTTTTGTTCCATTTCTGTATCTTGCATTTTGGAATGTTGGAGTCCCACGTTAGCTAAACTTTGACAATTTCTTCTTGATATATGTCAGAACATCCCTTCTAATAATCTAATAGAGTTTCACATATTGTAATATGGTATGAGAGACAAGGTCTACCAATCTAGGTACTCAACACCCTGGGGGTAATCTGTACTCATCTAGCCCCCTTTCGAGACTTTGATACAATTTGTGCCATCTAGCCTTTGTTGGTTTGCAGGAGGGGTGTTAAAGTCTCACATCGGCTAGATTTGGACCCTTCTAGTAATTTAATAGGGTTTCACATATTCTCACATGGTATCAGAGCCAAGGTCTATCAATCTGGGGACTCAACACCCTAGGGGCGATCTGCACTCATCTAGCCCCCTCTCGACACTTTGTGACATCTGTGTCTTTTAGCCTCTGTCGGTTGGAGGGGGTGTGTTAAAGTCCCAGATCGGCTAGACTGAACTCTTTCCCCTAAATATATGTTAGAACTTTCTTCGCCTCCTTAAGGGCTCTTTTGGAAAGTAATCAAATGGGGTTCCACATATCTCGTATGGAAGAAAAACATTAAATGAATTTGGCATATGTTCAAAACTTGAGCTTTTGCTACACCAGATTTAGGACTTGTACTTAAAGATATTCTTGTTGGTTGTGCAGGATGTTTGTAGACTCGTGCAAGCGATTAAGGATCATGAAAGGGTCGGAAGCAATCGGACTAGGTGCACTACCCGTGCTAGTTCCTTTAAATATGCATCCATTCATCTCCGGTTTAAGCTATGTTTCGAAAACTAACTAATAAGCTGGCTGTTGGCTGCAAAAATAGGTGTTTGGCAACATTTAGTTGATAAGGGGCATAATTGTAATTTTCTTGGAAAAGAAAGCCCTTGCAGCATTGAAATAGCATTTCAATAAGCTAGTTTTTGGCTAACCAAACTGAGACTTTTTCAATAAGCTAACATATAACTGATGGAATTGTTTGTGATTGGCTGATTGCAGCTCCAAGGTCAATGGAGAAGTGCAAGAACCAAATAAGAGACATCTGATGGACACACCAAAAGGGTCTTCAATTTTTTTTTTTTTTTTTTTAATTTCTAGTAATTTTTCGATTTTCTTTAGATGTCTGAATCTTTTCTTGTGGGCAAGTCATATCTGGAAAGGGAACATCTTTCAGATGTTTGGGTTTCCTGTTGCGTACTTAATGTATCGCGAGTGTTCTAAAAAGCTCGTTGCAACAGCCATTGTGGCTCAGGGGCTTGTGTTTGATGCTACGTTAAGCCTGTGGCATATGCCATTTAGAACCTTGTGTATTGCCTACAATTTCTAATGTAAATGGTCTTGTTTCATGTTTCATTTTTAGTTGTCTGAATGTAAATGTGTTCAATCCTGACTTCTGTTTCAGTTAGAATTGCAGTTCATTAGATTTTTCTGGATCTAGAAAGCATTTACAAATCCTTTCGACTCGACTTTCTGGTTTTCTTTTGCTTTTTATTGGTACTCTGCCTCGTTTTCTTTCTAATCCGTTTGGTCGGAAATCATTCCCATCTATACGATAGCTCGCTTCCTTCTAAGGAGACCGACCCTTTGCGTACTTTCACGTTCATAAATTTGTTAAAGATTCGGTTATGGTGATACAAATAGGCAAGGTATCAAAAGAGATCGAGGCTTCCAAAGTGTTCTCACTGAAACCCCTGTCAAATGAGAATGCTAACTATTTAAAAGAATACGAAAATAGCCGATCATGTGCAAAAGCACATGTGATTTTACATTTAACGGTAAGAAAAAGTGTGTGGACGACTTTGGTCGTGTCTTTCAGGTTGTGGGGCACATGTGATTTTGTATGTGATGTTAATGTAAAGTCATATGTGATTCGAATATTTTTTTTGTTCTTTTAAATGGGTATTGTTCCCCTTTGAACTTGTACATCAATACTCACCCGACACACACACTCTCTCTCTCTCTCTCTCTCTCTCTCTCTCTCTATATATATATATATATATATATATATATATATGGACCTTTGAACTTGTACATCATATGTTATTTTATATGATTCTTTTTTCATCTCAGACTAAGATTTAAAATATTGATTAACATATATTTGTTTCACAATGTGTTTATTTTATATGTACTCGGTTCATAATGTGTTTATTTCATATGTACTTGGTTCACAATGTGAACTTTTTTGATATATTTGTGAAACAAAAAATACACTTAAAAAAATCTAACATTTGTGAATCGAATACATATGAAACAAACACATTTTGAAACATATATATGTTAATCAATACATTAAATATATACTTAGGGGCAGTTTACCAAACGCTTACCCAAGTAAGCGCTTACCAAGTCACATCACCTTATCGAATGAATATAATAAAGACCAAGAATCTTACCTGATAAGAGCGAGACAAGAACCAAGAGTCTTACCCGGTAAGTGAGGGCGACGACTCTTACCACGGTAAGCGCTTATCGGGTAAATTGTTGCATACGATATCGTTTTAGTGGACTAAAATCTTACCCGGTAGGTAATTGATAGTGTTAAATTCTTACAGGGTAAATGTTTGGTAACCGGCCCCTTACTCACCCTCACTTATTGGTAAGCGCTTACTGGGTAAAATTGTTACATATGATACCATTTTGATAGCCAAGAATCTTACCTGACAAGGTTAGTGAAAGTGGTGACTCTTACCGGTAATTGCTTACTCGGAAAGCGTTTTGATAAACAACCCCTTGGTCGGAAAACAAATCATGTGAAACAAAACCTTAAAGTAGAAGTTCTCACGGATCCCACAAAATTTGGAGTTTTCAAACCATTAAGCCCCTATATGTATATATAGATACTCAAGTTCATACGACAATAACTAAATAAGAGCTATGCTGTTATATCGGTCAGAATACGAAATATCGGTCATGACTGATATTCGATATATCGGTCCAAAATAACGGTTAACATAATATTTCTTAGAATTATATATATAATATGCATTAATTAGAGTTTAGAAATATAGTTTCAAAATTAAAACATCACATCATTTAAAGTGTTCAAAAACGAGCTAATATAAAAGAACGAAGAAGACCGTTGTGGAGGCAGATTAATTTCAGACCTAATTTAAGTTACCAAGCCCAAAAAACTAGACTCATGAAGTAATAAAAGCCCAAATATTTAAACCCTAAAAAATCGATATATCGGTCCGATATTTGCATCAAAATATCGCTAAAAATCGGGAAAAATGGGAAAATATCGCCAATAATATCGGGGACGATATTTTGACCGATATTTTCTCTAGGAGCGATATCCGATATATCGCGATATTAACAGCATAGAATAAGAGAACACGAAAACAACACACGATTATGGTCCAGGTCACCACCTCACTCCTGTCATTAAGAGAGTTCTTGTTATCTTATTTTGACACTGTTCTCGTTTAATCATCTTTCTCATTATATATATATATATATATATATATATATATAGAGAGAGAGAGAGAGAGAGAGATGGGAGAAGGGGCCCGATATAACCATACTTTAATCTCGTTCACTAATAATGCCTTTCCGTTTATAATATATTGTATTGTATCACAATTTGATGGTCAAACTCAGTATTTTTATTCTCTCATACCAAAAATAGCTTACATTTTGGTCCTAATAATGGGCCAAAATGTAATGTCTATTGCTATTTTGTATAAAATAATACATTTTGTAAAAATTAATATACAAATTGCTCTTCAATTCATTTCAAATTCAATAACTTAGGCTCTTATTGGGCCTCTCTTGGGCCAGGATCAGAGCCCAATAACAAAATATACCTTTTGACAGATTGTTGGCTTGCTAAAAGAGCTCAATAGAACATAAAGAAAAAGCGAGTTGCCAAATGCTTATGGGTCACTTTCCTAATTTTGTGAGTACGACAAGGATCGAGAATTTATCTGATAAGTAACATGGCAAAGACTGGTAATTTTATTTGGTAAGTGGCATGACAGCAACGGAGGTTCATACCCGGTAAGTGAGGAATCATACTCTTGTTCTATTAACTACGTTATTTGTACAAACCGTACAAACCTCATTCAACCAATCATAATTTTTCATTTTGTTCATTTTTTTTTGTAATTATGAGAGATTAATTAATTATTTTTATTGTAGAGGGTGTTAATCATGGATATTATATTCTTAATTATATTAATTTTAGAGAAATATATGATACAGTTTCATTAAAATTTAATAAGTATTATATGAAACAATTTCATAATCATATATGAAACAACTTCATCAAAAAAATATATTATATGGAACAATTCCATAAGATTAAACCATTTCATGAATTTTTTTTTGTAAGATTAAACAATGAAATCAACGGATAATGGTGGTTTGCATTATTTGCACAAGTATGGGTGATTTGCACTTGATCACTCCTCTATATATATATATATGGATCGATGATCATGAGAAGCACAATTCATAGGAAGAGGCGAGATTAAAAGTGATCAATTGTTCATATCTCTTCTTATACTTCTCACCTAAACTTCTATTTTCACACGATCATTCGTCTCTCCCTACACATACATACATACATGCATGCATACATACATACATACATACATACATGAATGATTATGCATAAGATGGTCGGCATTATCATAATATCCATCACAGTTTTTTCACAACTTTTTTAAAGTCGAGAAGTAAAAATTAAATTTTTAAGAAAATATTTAATAATATTAAAACATTTATATTTATCTTCCTTCATTTAATTTTGAAGGGTCCTTTTCATGTTTATACAAACTTTCACACACTCTCTCTCTTGATTTCTTGGATAAAATATTTATCATTAACTAGATATCACATTACTCGCCATATTATCATTGTAACCGGTTAATGTTTCAACCAGTTATCCGGATACTTAAATATTTAAAATTTTATATCTTAAGTACCAAAATGAACATTTTGAAAATACGTTACCCAAAATAGGAATCAAATTAAAGTACGTTATTTTTTCATGCAATTTGCCTTCCGTAAAATTAAGAAAATTGAGATTTATAAGATTTTTGGAACTTTTTCCTTCTAACAGATTTCTTAAAATAAAAGAAAAAAAATAAAATTCTTCGAATCCAATGAAAAAAAAGAAAATTCTTCGAATCCAATGAACGTCATAAAAGTGATTACTTAAAAGAAAGAAATATTTTTATTTTACTTTTTACCAATAAAAACATTTGAAATTAAACGTTTAAAAAAAACAAATAACATTTTATTAGATATATTAAATATTTTACTGATATAATTAATATTATAATATTCAAAATAAAAAAAATGTGAATTTTTCATTCAGATGTTCTGGCTTTGACTGAGTTTCATATTGCTTCGTTCTCAGAACGTAAGTCGTAAACAACCATTGTTTGGATCCCCCAGTACTTAATCCGGAGCTCTCGAAATAAACTCGTGTTCAACAGCTCGTAGTGACGTTGGAGACTTGTTGTTTGATCCAGTCTGCCTCTTTTCATTGACTGTCTCATCGTGCTAAAACTTTCATCCGATCTCGGGTGTCGTGGTGTTGTAACCCAACTGCTTCTTCCTGTTAGTTATAGTCGGTTAGATGTATTTCCGCTCACCCTTTCGCTTTGTAGGACGTCTCGTGTGGGTTTTTTTGTTGCGTTTACGTCAGTGACCTCCCTCCTTTTTTTGGTAATCGTAGGTTTTGAGATCAACTTATATGCACCGACTAATCCTACAAATGACCATAATGCCCTTTTATCATTTGTATGGAATTTGGTAATGGACAAAATGTGCCAAATAGTGAATTAAAAAACCATGGTCGGTGAAGTTTGTGGCCCAACTTGATCATTATGTTTTCCTCTTTTAATGGATTTTCATTATGATCATTTATCAACACCAAAGGACCCCATTTCCATCTAAAATAAAATTAACCTTTTTTTTTTCTTTTAATTATTTTTAAATATGTAAATGCTATATATAAAGAGACACATGGGATTACCTGAGATCGACCTGTTTTTGTGAGACCAGTTTTTTACACTTGAAACTTCATAACAAAATATTGTGAAAGTAACATTTGCAGTGTTTTTGCTGTGAAATTTTGGCTTTTTTTTACCTTCAAAACATTTTGCTGTGAAATTTCAAGTGTAAAAAAATGATCTCATGAAAAGAAACTGGTTTCATGAAAAGAAACTGGTTTCATGAAAAGAAACTGGTCTTACGTGAACTCAACTCTCTCTCTCTCTCTTTATATATATATATAGAGAGAGAGAGAAAAATGTGTTCATATTTTACAGGATAAATATGTTATTTACTTAAACATCGGTATTGTTAACTTTAATAGTTATTAGAGTAAACTACAAATT